TTTTAGAGACCATGTTCGCCTAGTACGGAAAAGTAACCACATCTGAGGACGAATGGAGCCACACTACAGTTGTGTTAGGAACGACACGCAACTGTTAGTTGGCGGAATGAGGACGAGGATGTGGTGGCCTCCCTCCCAAACAAAAGAAAGATCACAAAAAATTAAGTTAGAAGTTGACCCTCCCAGGCCACAAAGGCGAACATGCTGGCGTGGCATAGAGATCTGGGATACATTAGACAGAAAATTTTTATTATTTATATGACTGAGAATAAAAGCGTGGCTCTAGAGCCTATAACCACATCCTCGTCCTCATTCCGCCAACTAACAGTATATTATGTTACGTGGATTGAGTTTGCCTATGTATGGGCCTCCGAGCAGTCCCGAACTATGTCCTATGGAGATTGCCCTGATTTTTAAAAATACCAAATTCTGTCCCTAGGATGCTTGCTACGATAATATCTCGTAGAGAACAAAGTTGAGAGAAAGAATATTTTTAAGATAAATGGGTAGTGTTCCTAAAATTATTTGGTATTTGGTATTTGGTATTGGGGTTTGGTTTGGTTTGGTTTGAACCAAACCAAAATCAAACCAAATACTTCGTCCAAACCAAATACCGAATAAAAAGGCTAAAAAAGAACTTGGCTTATGTGTAGGTCTTGTTTGTTCTTTATCATACTGGCATCGACAACTAATAGCATATGGAAAATGGCGAAATTAATGTACAGGTACGAATACTGTGGTATGATATAACAACTATAAGGTATATTCTTATTAAAGGAACTGAAAACAGAGTACATCGATGGTATTTGATGATGCCAACGACTGCTCTTCCGATCAGCATCTGTTGATAGCATTGGTCAGTCTCGCAAGCGAAGAAGGAATCAAAGCTGGATATCGCAAATCATCATGCAGAAGCAGTAGACGTGAACTCCAAGTTGCTTATTCGGTGCCTTCATTGTCTGAAAACTACAAGCTACACCAATTATACGAGTAGCCCAATGATTTCACATTTGCTTCGCCGACATGCTATAACTGAGAATAGTCCGGCGCGCGCTAAGAATATTGACTTTGCAAATCCTCTCATGAACTCTTATTTTCAACGCACACAAACCATTGCTTTTTCATCCGAAGAGTGGGATAGCCTCACTGTTGATATGATTATCGATTGCAAACTTTTGTTAAGCATCGTTGAAAAGCCAAGTTTCAGAAGGTTACTGAACTACGCTCGGCATAGCCCTCATGCCGAGATCAAAATGGCCGGCGCCGACACTCTTCGCAACCGTATCTTCCGCTATTTTGATCTGATCTGAAGGTTGAAGAAGCCAAGAGAATACTTGAGGCACAGGATGGATAAGCTATACTACGGATGTTTGGAAAAGTCCTGGAAAGTTCCCTACCTCGGAACAACAGCTCATTGAATAGATTGTGATTGGGAAAAAAAAAAAAAGGTGTGCTGATAGTTCTTACCCAGTTCTGGGATCACATTCAGCTATTCTTCCGTAACTCGATTGCCGGTTAGCGATTTGATGATCTGGCGACTACTTTGTCGACGCACTTGGAAAATTGGACTTGACTGGTTCTAATTTTGCCATTAGGACTGATATTCTAGTTACGCTCAAAATGATTGAGAAGATTGAGGAGCTTATTCGGCAAAGTGGCCATTCCCATGCTCAAGTTCATGTTTACTGAATGCTTTGCGTTGGACACATATTGACTCTTGCGGTCCAAGAAATTTTGAATGCTGGGATTGGCCATGGTCCTAACGATCAGATAACAGATATTACTATAGAAGTTTCAAGAGGTAAACCTGTTGACAAGCTCAGGCAGTGCGTCGCATGGATTAGATCTTCTTTCATAATGATGTGCTCTTCCAGCGTTGCTGTCAATCCTTGGACTTACCTGATCTACAGCTTTCTTTAGATGTCAGAACTTGATGGAATGGCACATGCGAAATGATCAAAGAGCAATATCGTAGTCGTCAGTGTTGGATAACGATTGAAAACGGACCTGGGTATATGCGGTTATCTGTGGCAGATTGAAAATTCCTAAAAGCAGCTATGCGCATACTGGAACACCCTTTGAACAGTTACAAAATGGAACTCTGCCTCTGGATACGCAACTATTGATACGGCAACGATATCGTAGGTAAACTTACGAAAAAGTTTATCTCCCATGGAAGGTGGTTTAGGCTGGTGAAATCACAATGAATGCAGATTTTCTTGCGATGTAGCATCTAACTGTTCACTCTCACAGAAATCGATATAGTCGGCAAGCTGCAAGTTTTGCAATTGTGTTGATTAAAGCCATTGGCAAGGTGGACATGTACTTTAGTGAAAACTGGAATGGCTTATTACTTGGCAAGCGATAACTTTGGACCCTCGTTCCAAGTTTGCATTCTGCGAGAAAGCGATATTCCAACAGCGGTTTATTGATATTGGCAAGAAGACCGTGCGTCTGGCTTGGTGGAAATTTCGACCTGTTTTTCCTTCTCCAACGGACTCTGCGCAGTTACTATTTCAACAAGTGGTCGGACAGGATGACGATATACACGCTATATTACCGAAAAGTCATTGCCTGCAACGCAGGGTTTTGATGTGCTGCAATTTTGGAGATGAAAGAAGCATCATCTCAAACCTCTCTAAGTTAGCTAGAAAACATATGGCTGTGTGTGCGCGACTTTAACTCCAAGCGAGTTTTCCTTTTCTCGAGCTCCATTAATTGTCTCACTCTACGAAATAGGTCAAAGCCCGAATGATTTTGCATCAGTATGCTACTGTGGTCAATGAAAAGGTTACTGGATGTAGAGAACATGTTACAATAAAAGATGTTTCGTTCCAATACATACCGTAATAAAAGGAATCAAATCAACCCAAACTTTTCTCCTAATATTGATATTTATTAGTACCGTGAGATGGATCATCGATGTGAATTATTTTATTCACACTTCTCGCTTAATCCTAGCGCTAAAAGCGGCCGAACGGATGATATACCGAGCATCCAACCGAACAACAGCTTGATTAGGTAGCACTGCCCTAAAGGCTACATCTTTGATCGTCCTTGGCTTCGGGTAGACGAAGCCTTACGTCAATGAAAGATTAGATGATGCTAAGCAGAAATTACTTATGAAAAGTGAACATTCAGGATCTGTCATAGGACTATGCTGCGTTGTTGAGCTACCTTAAAGCCGGTTTGTGGAATAATAGAAGAAGCTTAGTAAATGCGGGCAAATTTATTGGTATTAATGTCCACAAGAGATCAGCATTTGGCTCAAAGTCACAAATAAAATTCTCATAAACCTACAGAACTACTGATGATTGATCAATTTATGACCAGGATAGGGGATGTTTTTTCTCGTTTTTAATGCAAAGTGTCGTGTATCCATCATCAATGCTGGGAAACTTATCTCACATACTCACGAGATACAGCCACTACCTTTGATATGATTGGGTAATTCCGATAGAGTCTTCAATTATTAAGCCTTTCTCGTTGTGGATGTGATAGCAGTAAATAGAAATAATATATTTACAGTGTTAGTAACACTGTGATCACCACCCTTACCCATAAAGAATAATAAACGAAAAAACGCTGTTGATCGTTAAGAGCTGTCCTTTAAATCATCGCCAGTGACTCGTTTATGCTACATGCGTATAAGCAATGCCTCCTTTCTTCAAAATTCAAAGCTTTGCTTCACGCTACCATTTCGTTATTACAGCCAATCTTGAACGCTTGGTTTGTACCACCTTAGTTTATTGATCTCCAATGCGGCCAGAACCCAAAGTTTGAGGGAATCGTCATTATGTATTAGCATATTTTCTACATGAAACTAAGCATTGAAATTAAAAGCAATTTATTTATCAGTTTCTAGTGATATTACTTTCGTATGAGAGGAGAACAGCTTGGTCAGTCAAGCAGGAAAGTGCATTGTTCTTTAGCAGTCACAAAGCTTCTTAACTTCTTTCAAAAAGCTACCCGATACCCCAACAGTTGCCATCGCTTAGCTCGCCAATAGTTATTGCAAGATACTTGGTATATAACGGGTCGTCTATTATAGTAAGGAAAGAGATTTTGAGTCAGTTCTCTCTTTTTTTATCATCGTTGTTGTGGGTGAGAATATCTCATAAAAAAAAATTTGTACAAAGAAATATATTTCGAAATTACCTTATTCGACAAGAAGGCTGCAAGGCAATAAGTAGACAACCAATGGACCCCATGAGAACTCGCGGTCGTATCACCAGCTTGCGCCTCACGGAAGGTACCAAAGAACAAATATATTCCCAAGGTATAGGACGGGCCGCCTCGTAATCATCTGGATAGAGGCGATATGATTGTGCATTCTATGGCATTTGGAAGGGTCAGAGTCATTGTTGACAAATACTCTTCAGGGATGCAATGGCCGTCTGCACTATATAACAGAAGAATTCTATCATTTGTGTCCACGCAGAGATACGGATCATAGTGAGCGGCATGAGACGAGAGGAGAAACAGATGTTAATGGAAAGGAGCACAGGTACCATGGTGAAAATGGTGTGACCCGCGTGAATAAAACTTATAAAGAAATCTAAATTGAAATATCATTGCGTTTCAACTTCTTCATTTTATCCTCAAGAACAAATTTCAAACATGCGCTGCGTATACGACGACTGCACTTCCGACCCTAATGGCTACCGCAACAATAGGTCGCTTCGTAGACATATCAGAGATGTTCATGGTATGTATATCACTATATGTTTATTCACACCAGCCTTTTATGATATCCTCACTTCTATTACATAGGCTGTGCTATTGAAGTTTCTACAAGTAGCAGGGCATACCAAGATACCGACGACACTTGCATATTCCCATCTTGCTCGTATAATACAGACGACCAAGAGGCGTACAAGGAGCATCTAATGAATGCGCATAGTAAGTTCAGGTTTTTAAAAATTGTACTGCAAGTACTATCTAATATATCAAACCAGATTTTCCGATATCTCTCGGCAACCAACCTTCGGAGCTTCCAGGAGTGGGTGAGCAACCGTCAGCTCAGGAGGACGTAACCGCGGAACTGCTGGCTTCAAGCCCTATGACTGTAAATGAGGAATCTTCAGTTTCTGCTGCCATGGCTGTGGAACCATCAACTTCTGCTCCTGTGATTGCGGGACCATCAGCTTCAGGTGATATAGTTGTGGAGCCGGCAGCTGCCAGTTCTATAAAGGAAGAGCCATCAGATTCAGCCTATGATCTTACGGAGTGGGTAGCTTCCAGTTCTTTAATAAAGCAGGAAACAACTACAAACTCTACACCATTGGGACCTTTGAGCACGTTTGCTTCACAGAAAGTGAGATAATCACTTGATTTATGACTAAGCTATTGTTACCATTCTAAACATCAGTTTACAGAGAGATTTCGGTGAGATTACCGAAAATAGTCATTCCCAACGTGAAGTAAGTACTGCCCAACATTCATGCTGCATTGTCTGAACTGACATGCCTTGCATTTCAGGATAGGAAAACTCAAATACTGGCTACCCCGAGACTTTCTAGAAACAAAGGGAAAGAAACCGCGATCCGTTTATGGGCTGATATGGTTGGCGCCCTTAATGAACCTGTTATGGTTGGCACCCTTAATGGACCCAACATCAGGAGAGCCGAAGCGCATACGTTGGAAGGTATGGTCCTTTTCGGAATAGCTGGGGCCTTAAGCGAAGGAATGGAGGAGAAATTTGCTTCCAACCGAGAAGATAATCGTAATTACTTGTGCCTTAATGCGATACCAAATGCGATGGAATATCTAAAAAGAGTGTTGAAGGCTGAAAGTCCATCAGAAGCTATTGGTAGGTGCGTCGAGAAAATCGACGTTTCAACTTACAATGGCCAGTTCCTTACGATCATGCGAGGCACCCTTTATGATTTCTGTATAACGAGGCTGACCAAACCCAATTTCGAGTACACTGGTGATTATGAAATGACCTATTGGGTTGACTCCGTCCTCCCCATGTTCAGGTATCTTGCTAGGATTACCGGTCTAGTCTTGTTTAATTGGTAAGAATTTTGAGAAAGGAGGAAAATGTGAAGAAGCTGTCTTACAATCTATTTGAATAGGGGCCAAACGGTTACTATGCGTATTGACTTTGCTTCATATTTCGACGACATCCAAGATCTTGGTAACTGACACTAATTTGAATGCCTTCCAAAGTCACAAAACTGAATACATGATACCCAACAGAAACGACTCACTATGTGGATGGCCTTGGTGAAAGTAAATACGGAAAATGTATAGTGATGGAGACCTCCAGCGAATCCCTTTCAGAAGATGACCTCAACACAAAGGATAACACAGCTAAGCTGCTCCGATGCGCGGTTGATATACTGAAAGCCAAGCAAGCCGAATGCATGGACGCCTCTTTTTCAACATTTGCCAAGCTGCAAATCTTGACAGTTCAGACTGTTCAGGACACCATGACGCTTTATGGCGTATCCTTCACAGCTGAGAAGAAGATGTACGAGTACCTTACGCTAAGAACGGCCAGAATTCCTGTTGCTTGGGAGGATCGTGAAGACTGGTATAGCATGTTTGAACTACTTGCTCATGTGATGGTAAAAGCTTATTATTCTTAACGCTTGTGCAAACGCAATCTAAATCTCAATGTCTAGGTAATTTTACAAGAACAGAAGCAGGTCCACCTTCAACTCCTGAAAGAAATGCGGCATGTAGTTTATGTCAGACCAAAAGATTCTGTTCAGTTCCACTCTAACCTGATGCATGAGGATCGCGAAGTATGACCTGGAATATATTTTTAGCTATAATACACTCATGATCTAGTTTGTTCACGTTCAATATATTCCTTCATCTCGACTGTAAACATCACAATTTGAGCATGTGGAGAAGCCATCGTAATCTAAATGAAAGCGCATTTATATGAAGCTGGATTGGGCGACAGTCGACTACGACTATAGCATCAAGTTGTCGTATGCATGATTTCTTAGAGAGTCTATACGATCTCGACAGCTGTTATTATTTGTACAAACCTGATAATTCACAATAACTTGGCAGCATTATTAGCCTTCTGTTTCGTCTTCCTACACAGATGTTGGCACACAAGTGAAAAGAAGCGAGGACAAGTTTTACATATCACGCGATCCATTGTCACGAACTTTTTCTATGTTGTTGCTATTGGAACATGGCATAGTTCAGAATATCCAAACCCGGCCAGGCGAAAAGAAAGCCGGGTACATCTTTGATGGCTTCTTATGTACGGTTCCTTAGCAAATCGAGCGCTCAACCATCCACTTAGATTTGGATTCAGCTCCAACTTGAAGTTAGATAGCAGAAATTCGACGTTGCTAATCGATTTTGTCCAAGGTCGACGGCTGTCGACGCTCGTCATTGCTGGATAAATATTTCCAGCCAAGATCGTGTAAGTTATGCGCTTTACGGAGTAACGCTCTCTGTCATGCTTATCATCAACCCCATTGAAACAGCTTTTCAAATCACATTGAGCACAACACTGCTTTCCGTGACTAATTTTGCGCTGATGTTGTTTAACAATGGTTTTTGGAGTTTTGACGAGAGGTAGACAGATCGCCATGTTTTGAACTCAGGCGATAAAATAGTGATGAGCTTTTCGGCCATCGACTGAGCCTGGCGTGAGACAGAAAAAGACAAACTTGATGCCATATATAAATATAGATGCCTAACATTAATAACCTTTTTAAATTAATGATACATCTTCTCGATCGAACCAATTGTATTTCCATACATTTATTTTTGAAAGGAATGCGACACGTTTTGTTGTTACAGTCATTAGGATAAGGATCCAAATAAATTTAAAAGGTATCAAATGGCAAATGTATCGACTGTATAGTGAGTGGCCTTCAGCAGACAGCGCAAGGAGATACATTCGAATTCATAGGGCAAGACAAAGCTCGATTTTCACAAATCAGCTTTCTTGCCTTATGATTGGATAAAATTTTATATACTTTTTTCATGGAAACGTACTGAGAGTCCGTTCCATAACTATATTTCCCGGTCCACAGATGTATGAACCTCCTCTTTAACTGCAGGTGCGTAATGATGCTGAATATGATATGCAGACAGACGATGAGAGATGTACGACCAATGGATGCGTTTACGACATGATGGATTGATGATACTCCCTCTCGATGGATTGATATTTCTCCTGCATTTACCGACATGCTGTTTCCAGAAATTTCAATTTGACATTTTTCCAACGAGTTACGAAATGCGATCCATCTTACACGCCACGCCCGGCATGACAGCATTCGTTGTCGTGTTGAGAACCATTCACTAATTACAACTTTCCTTCGTATATTCTTTGACTACTATAGGTCTTGACATGGGTGGTAAGTTCTTCAGCAAATATTTTTTATGACCTTTACAATGTCAGCGCTCTGTACTCACATTACACCTCTCTTTTAGCTTACAAGTATCTCGAAGAACTTTACAAGAAGAAGCAGTCGGATGTCTTCCGTTTCTTGCTTCGCGTTAGATGCTGGGAATACAGGTAGGGATTTGGCAACCGTTTTGAAGCTGGCATTTACCCGCAAGCGTAATACGAAACTAACCATGTTGGTATACATATTAGACAATTGAATGTCATTCACCGTGCTTCCCGCCCCTCCCGCCCTGATAAGGCTCGTCGTCTCGGCTACAAGGCCAAGCAGGGTTATGTCATCTACCGTATCCGCGTTCGTCGTGGTAACCGCAAGAGAACCGCCCCCAAGGGTGCCACCTTCGGTAAGCCCGTCAACCAGGGTATCAACCACCTCAAGTACCAACGCTCTCTCCAGGCCACCGCTGAGGAGCGTGTCGGTCGCAAGTGCGCTAACTTGCGTGTCTTGAACTCCTACTGGGTCAACCAAGACGCTACCTACAAGTACTTCGAAGTCATCCTTGTCGATCCTAACCACAAGGCCATCCGTCGTGATGCCCGCATCAACTGGATCGTCAACCCCGTTCACAAGCACCGTGAAGCTCGTGGTCTTACCGCCATTGGCAAGAAGAACCGCGGTCACGGAAAGGGTCACGGCTTCAACAAGACCATTGGATCCGGTCGTCGTGCCAACTGGAAGAGACGCAATACCCTCTCCCTTCGCCGTTACCGTTAAGCATCTACCTAAATTTTTGTTTCGATACTGTCAGTTCATTTTCCCTCATGCATGGTATTGAGTCAAAAATAAAACAAAAAACAATCAATTTTTTGGTACAAAGTTAATTTTGGAGAACACCGCTTTCATAGCTTGATTATTTTTCCCACCTATCTGCCCCAGTTTTCATAGCAACATAGACATGAAAGTGCACGGATGCCTTGCATTGGTGCCTCTTTTGACATACATTGCTGCAGGCGATCCATTGCAGACGCCACTGAATCGACCGGAGCAGTTTCCTAGAGCTTATACAACATGGGCCATTCTTGGTCCATTCCCGACGGGAATGAGGGAGCAGGATTTCGGAGCTGATCCTCTCGAGCCCTATGGTATGTCCATTTTTGCACATATTCCTCGTAGGATGCTGCTTCCTGTACATATGGCAGAGTAGTGTGAGTAACTTTTGCTTTAGGAGGGATTCATAACTTGACCTTTTCTACCTATTCTCGATATCCTTCGGAATTGGTGGACGGCGGTTCGGTTGGCTGGCAGTTACTTGAAACTCAGGGCACCACTGTCGGTCCACTTGAGTTTCCCTCCACTAGGTAAAAATCAGCAACTGAACTTTGCCACTGTTATATTTTATTGCTCAATTCACATTATATGTTGCATTTATGTGTGCTTTAGATGGTCGTGGAACCAATTGACAGCAGGATGGTCTATTAATCAGTATCAGGCTTGGGCCGTGACGACTTTCACATTGGATGAACCAGCGGCTTTCCGTGTTCAATTTTATTCTATTGGGGATTTTTATGTTGACCACATCAAATACTCTGGCGATTGGTACAATTATCAGACAACCGCGCATGTTGTACGTCTAGCAGCTGGAGAGCATACAATCCGTGTGCGCGTCGTCAATGAGATTCGAATTTTCGGTGGCTCTGTACCGCCTAAAAGCACCTTTCAATACATGTGGGAGCCCATTCCCGACGATATACCAGCTGTAGCTATAGAGCAGCAACTTAACATACCAGACATTGCAGACGGTCGCTTCACAGGTGACCTGTGCAGTATCGGTGTTCAAAATGTTCTGAAGGAGCAAGCAATTCAGGTCACGGCTATATCGATAGTGCATAAGGACTCGGATGTTGAAATAACCGCAACGTTGCAACGGCAAAGCGCTATGAATATCATTATGCCTGGCCAGATTCGACAAATACCCTTTTGCATCCATGCTGACGAACTCATACCTGCAAAGACCCCCACTCTCCTTGGCGTCATCGTAACCGTCACTTTCAACGGTGAAGATCACCAGCTACATAGAGCTGTGTTCCCGGTTGAGCACAAGAATATCGAACAGGAAGCATTTAGAATTACGTTCGAAGACCCTGATGGGTCTGTGCAATATGGTAAGAAAGAGTAACTGCAAAGCTTTCTAAAACTATGTAAAACGCACAATCACTCACCAATCCACTGTGTTATCCCATACAGCTATGGTGAAGGCTCCCAAGGAACTGTCATTTGAACCGAGCACACCACCGCCTATCCTTGTGGCCCTACATGGTGCAGGTGTAACAACTTCATGGCCATGGTGGACGAATGCTCTGTCCAGGAGTGAAAAAGCATGGGTAAGCTGGGGAGTGAAACCTTTGTTCAAAAGTAAAAATGCATTACTCATACCTTTTATCAACAAAGACGGTCTTTCCGACTGGCAGAACGTCATGGTAAGTCCGAGCATTTACCCGGTAACAACATAAACATAGACGCTGAATCTCAGATCTCGCGTGGCAGGGGATATGATTGGCACGGTGCCAGTATGATCAATGTTTTCCAAGCTGTAGATGAGTTAGTGCGCCAGGTACCCCAAATTCTCTCGCATAAGGGAGCTATTGTTACAGGCGACCCGGATAAATTGGTCTATATTGGTAAGATTTCCGGTGTTTTCGGCCGGGCAATCTCGATCGATGTGATTGACAACACTACATATAGGGCACAGCAATGGCGGTCAAGGGGCTTGGTATCTCGGAACTCACTACCCTGACAAAGCCATTGCCATTTTCGCTGCCGCTGGTTATACCAAAATTCAAGACTATGTATCCTATGGCAATTGGCTGAGCGTATCCCATTCAGACCCATGGCTGCGAGGGGTAAAGTATAAGAATTTTAACTCATGTTCGCAAAAATAAATAATAACGAAGATTAACCGTTATCAGGTGCTGGAATCGTCCATTGCCGAGTACAACAACGACTTGCACGCCTCCAATTTGGTAAGAAACACGGCCTGACGGACCATGTTGATCATCTGTATCGGCAGACTGACTTTTACTCAATAGGCTGGCATTCCGATCCATGCTCTGGTAGGCGGTGATGATGATAATGTACCACCACTGCATACGAGGAAGTATGGCCGACTGGCGAATGAATACGCACATAATCCCGAGTTTGTCAAGTAAGTACCAAGCAGTTTCCGGAAGGCAAATTTCTAGTTACAGCAAAATAGCTAATTTTTGAGAAACCAAAAATATTCTCGGGGAAAACAGAATATCGGAGTATGCAGCACATGGTCACTGGTGGGATAATATTTTGGACAATGAAGAATTTCAAAGTTTTGTCGAGGAGCACGTTGAACATCCTAGAGGTTTAATGGATGGATTGGACTACTTCACCCTGACAGTTATCAATCCATCCGGCACTGGAAGCAAAGGAGGCATTACTGTGGAAGAGCTTTTGACACCGTACCATCTGGGACGAATCAATGTGAAGGTTGAACGAGAGGGTAACGAAACGACGTTATCCTTGAAGACCAGCAACATCAAGCGATTCAAGTTTGCCAATGATGCTTTGCAGAATTTCAATGGAGTTACCATTCATGTTGATAATCAAGATGGTGTTTGGCGGAACAATGTCGACGGATATAGCCAGGATGTTGTCATCGAGCAGAACGAGGAAAGCAAACAATGGAAGGCAAGTAGTGTATGATTGCCGGGTAATTTAACACCGTTCCGACATAACCCTAAACCATACCACGGCAGATGAAATCGGGCCTTTTTAACTCCATCGAACATCCACATGGGCCGCTGCACAGGATATACGAAACGGTTGCCCCGCTGACGATTTTGGTTCCTTCTGATTCAAACTTCTTGTACCAAAGTGCGCTACAAATTAGCCACGACTGGAATCTCTATGGAAACGGCGACGCTGTTATTCTGCACGCAGCTGAGATCGAAGAACTACCCGACTCAAACTTGATTTTCTTAGGGGGACCTGAGCAAAATAACATGACGGCACAGTTCCTTGCCTCCTGTGTTTCGGACATTTATATATCATCCAACGAAATTAAAGTAGGTGGATATAGCTATGCGTCGACTGGGACAGGCATTATTTATCATCAGCCTTGGCGGCAGCGCCATATGGCTATAGTCATAGCCGGAATCGATGGTTCTGGATTTTCAAGCGCCGCCCAACTCCTACCCAAACGAACAGGCATGGTAGTGTCGGACTGGGGTAAACGTTTTTCTGTTCAATGCTGAGATTTGTTCTGTTTCATGCACTAATCTTTCTGGCTTACCAGTGGTTACTGGTCCACACATGAAATGGAAAGGCATTGGGGGGATCCAAGCAGCAGGGTAAGGGACATTTTTAAACTTTTCTGGAGTAACGCCAGCTCTCATAACGATGCGCTCATGGGTTTTCTTAAACAGGTACTTTAATAATGACTGGAAGGCTTTCGGGTATTTCTAAAGGGATATGTCGATATTATTATTTACATGGGTGTAAAATGACCATAAAGCGTAAAATTGCACGGATAAAGATTTTTTTACAAATGGGCTCGCGAGCAAAGCTGCGCCTGAAAAAGTGCATTTTGGACGGCCACTATGAGCCCAAAGAGAAGTTTCCAAACAATGGCCATTCTTCTGCATCATGGGTCATGGAGTGAGCTTCGACAAAGGCTTGATCAGAGAGACCCTCCTCCGCTTCATCCTGGTATAACATGGCATTCACCACACTGATTGGAATATCATGAAGCTCCGGTATATAGTCTTCGGGATGATCCTTTTGACTCGGAGCAGAGGTCAACACGTTGGCGTGTTCATCTATTACATAAAAAGTCGCAACGGCGAATGAGTGACATACTATGACCTAATGGGGACGTGGAGGCAAAAGGGACTTACCGGTTATGCATGTGAAGGAGTCGAATGGCGCTGTGTTCATGAGATTAATGGACATGAAAGATATGAAAACGAACCACACTAGAGTCATGATCCAAACGGGTATAGCGAGTGCCCAGTATCTATTAGGATACAGGAACATGAAACGGTGAGTGTTGCGTAAAGTGTAACACTTCCGTGTTATTGCCCTCACCTGCTTGGGTAATAGGTTATGCCAAGACTATGCAGAACCTCGTCAGGCACATATGCCCAGATGAGGTAGATACCTGGAGGAGGCGAAAAATAACCCATCTTAAATTAGGATGTGATGGCCAAAGATCTAAAAATTTCATCATTTTTGTTTATAGCAGGAAAAAAGAAATACCCACCTAGAACAACAAACGACACTAAATACATGACGAATCCATAGTACTCGTAGGTTGGCGTTTTGGTCGTCGTTGCTACCGGGGGTGCTTGCTCGACTTGCGATACAATGGATACAACCCTACAGAGGGTGTTATCACGCGTGCGCAGTTTTTTTTTTTTTTTTGGCCTCTTTCATAGTAGTCACTTCACTTACTCTGACAAGGATCTGGGCCGATGCCGGCTTTGCTTTGTGCTGAGGGGTGGTAGATAGACATCGGACTCGTCCATGCTAGCATTTTGTGCCTTGTAAGATAGAAAATTACTGAACGAATTCCGTCTTCGCAAGGCACTAATTCAAAATTATCAAGACTTAGTGGAACAATGAATAATAATAATAATAATGGTGCAACAGACTACCTCTTTCGACGCTCTATTTCATGGTTAGATTTACTGGTGGTGGATTGGGCATGGCTATCCTGATGCCATTCTTCTTTTCGAGAGGATGGGGATCCGAATGCATAATTCACCAGCCCCGGTAGAGAAGTGGTAGATAACGATACGGGTAGGATACTATGCGATACACTGTTTCTCAAAGCTCGTTCCCTAGGCGAGACTAATAGTGGCTGCTGTATTGGACGCGCTTGCGGTTTATTGACGTCCTTCATATGTCGTGTGTGTTCGGATATGGATCGATATGGTAAACGGAAGGAAAATCCAAGTTCCGTCCGACCGAAAAACATTTAAAAAATAATTTTACTTTATTCTTGCCATGCGCTGGTCAGTAAGCTGGTGTATTGGGGGCAGTGGAACATTTCAAATCGGCTCTATGAGAAGAACTCTATCATCATATAAATAATTATGTAGCCAAGAACGTTTTAAAGTAGAAAGATAGTATGCATGTCCAAACGGCGATATGAACAGGCAGAAACCGTGAAAACCTGAAACAGTGCCGGTGCGGATTTCATTGGTCGAAAGCTGACCCAGACAGTCTTACACATATTTCCCTCCCCCCCCCCAGTCATGACAGTATATAAGAGCGGGCGTCTCAGGTTTAAAAAAAAAAAAATCAACCTTCGTTCGCTTTCATATCTGCCTTATCTCTCTCATTCCTATATCACACCTAGAGCATGGAGCCGAACGATCCAAACAACAATGAAAAGGCGCACGTCGCTGATCAACCCGTTGGCCCCAATACTCCCGTCGCTCCCAACGCAGCAGCTCCAGACGCCGCTACAAAGGAATCTGTGCCCGCACAGGCTACCGATGAAAGTAATACCAAGCCTGCGAACAACGATGTGCCCAACGGCATGTCTTTGACAGTGGAAGAACTGTATGACAAGGACAAGCATGATCTTTCTACTATGGAGCCTGGCGATGTTTTTCAACTGTTGCAGTAAGTTGTCAAAATTTTTCTTTCTTAAAGCAATGCATGGGCGTCATTTTTTCCATGACGATTGGTGGGGGCTTGGGTATTTTTTTTTATTTTTTTCCCTTTCTCTTTTACACGTCATGGACTTGACCGGGGAACACAATACCGATTAGGAGACTGACCTATTCATCACAGAACGTCCACAGATGGTTTGACTTCTGAAGAAGCCGCTAGAAGAATTGAAAAGTTCGGTCATAACAGACTTGAACACAAGGAAGTGAACCCCATCCTTCAGTTCTTGGGATTCATGTGGAATCCTCTTTCTTGGGTCATGGAAGCTGCTGCTATTGTCGCTATCGCTGTTTCCAACGGTGGCGGTCGACCACCGGATTGGGAAGATTTCGTTGGTATCGTGCTTCTCTTGTTGGCTAACTCCGTCATTGGTTTTATGGAAGAACGCCAAGCTGGTAATGCCGTCAAGGCACTTATGGCCTCCCTCGCTCCCGAAGCCAAGGTGAAGCGTGATGGAGCATGGAAGACGGTCGAAGCTGCTGAATTGGTTCCCGGAGACGTTATCTCGGTCAAGCTTGGTGATGTCATTCCTGCAGATGGTCGTCTGGTTGCTGTAAGCATCGCCACTTTTTTTTTTTTTTTCTTTTCATTTTTGAAAGAAAAGCGTTACTCATTTTTTTATTTTTACCTCTAGGCGCATGGTGAAGTGTCTATTGATCAAGCCGCCCTTACCGGTGAATCATTGCCAGTCACCAAGGAGGCTGGAGACGAAATTTTCTCCGGTTCTACCTGTAAACAGGGTGAAGCTGAAGCTATTGTTATTGGTACTGGTCTGAATACTTTCTTCGGTCGTGCCGCCAAACTTGTTGGCGATGCTGGCGATGAAATGGGTCACTTGCAAACCATTTTGGCCAAGATTGGTAATTTCTGTATCTGCACCATCGGTATTTTCCTCATCGTCGTGGTCATTGTTCAATATGCTGCTTTCCGTTATCCCTACCGAACTGGTATTGACAATGTGCTTGTCTTGCTCATTGGTGGTATCCCCATTGCTATGCCTACTGTCTTGTCCGTTACCCTTGCTATTGGTGCCAAACAACTTGCTGAACACAAGGCCATCGTGACCCGTATCACTGCTATTGAAGAAATGGCTGCCGTCACTATCCTTTGCTCTGACAAGACCGGTACTTTGACTCTTAACAAGTTGATTGTCGACAAGCCTACCATCAAGACCTACTCTGACTACACTGGCGAGGACGTCATTCTCCTGTCTGCCTATGCTAGTCGTACTGAAAATCAAGATGCCATTGATTTCTGTATCGTAAACTCTCTTCCTAACCCTCAACTGGCTCGTGAAGGCATCGAGGAATTGGAATTCAAGCCTTTCAACCCTGTCATCAAGCGTACACAAATCACCTACAAGGACAAGGATGGCGTCGTTCGCCGTGTCACCAAGGGAATGTCCCATACCATTTTGGACCTTTGCTCTCGTGATAAGACCGAAGAACAAATTAAGGCCCTTAATGATGACGTCGATGAATATGCTCGCCGTGGTCTTCGTGCCCTTGCTGTTGCCGTTGATGAAATTCCCTCTGGCAATATTGAAGATGAAGGCAAAGGATTCAAGCTTATTGGTCTTCTTCCCATCTACGATCCCCCACGTTCTGATACCAAGGAAACCATCGATCGTGCTATTGCTCTTGGTGTTCAAGTCAAGATGATTACTGGTGATCAACTTGCTATTGCTAAGGAAACTGGCCGTCGTCTCGGTATGGGTGACAACATGTTCCTTTCCAAGACATTGAAGGATGGTCCTCCTGCTGGTTCCGGTTATAGTAATGTCGATGAACTTGTTCTTGGTGCCGACGGTTTCGCTGGTGTCTACCCTGAACATAAGTTCGAAATTGTCGAACGCCTGCAAAACCTTGGCCACATGACTGCTATGACGGGTGATGGTGTCAACGATGCTCCTGCTCTTTCCAAGGCCAATGTTGGTGTTGCTGTTGCTGATGCTTCCGATGCTGCTCGCTCTGCCGCTGATATTGTCCTTACTGAACCCGGTCTTTCTGTCATTATTGAAGCTATTATTGGATCTCGTCAAATTTTCCAACGTATGAGAAACTACTCTATCTACACCTGCTCTGTCACCATTCGTGTCGTGGTTGGCTTCTCCATCTTGATCTTCGCTTTCCAATTTAACTTCCCTCCCTTCATGGTCCTAATTCTTGCTATTCTTAACGACGGTACCATCATGACTATATCTACGGATCGTGTCAGACCATCGCCTTATCCGGATCAATGGAATTTGCGGGAAATTTTCTTGAGCGCTATCGTTTACGGATTGTATTTGACTGCTTCCACTGTTGCGTTCTATGCTGTTATCTACAAGACAAGCTTCTTCCAACGTTTCGGTACATCCCCCGTCACTGATCCTAATGACTACAAGATTCACTCTGTCATCTACCTTCAAGTGTCTACGATTTCCCAAGCCCTTATTTTCGTCACTCGATCTCGCGGTTTCTTCTTCACTGAACGTCCTTCCGTCATGTTGATGTGTGCCTTCATCATTGCTCAATTGGTTGCTACCTTTATCTCTGTGTATGCCAACTGGGGCTTCACCAACATTGAAGGTTGTGGATGGACATGGGCTGGTATTGCTTGGATCTGGAACATTGTCTGGTTCGCTCCTCTTGACTTTGTCAAGTTTGGTCTCCAACGTGCCTTCGAGGGCAGAAAGACTCCAGTTGCCCCCATCCACGACGAAAACGCACCACGATCTCGTCGCAGCTCTGTCCTTTCTACCTCTACATCAGCTCGCTACTACGCCAACCGTACTCATGCACTTCGTGGATTGCAACGTCCTCGAAACTTTGGTAGACGCATTTTGGGTCTCAACCGTAAGATGTCCATGGATCCAAATGAAATGCGCCGCTTCTCCAGTGTTCAGGTAAGAATTTGAAAGAATGATAGTGTGATATTTGGGATTTATAAACTAATGGTTCGTTGTTATAGGCCAATCATGCTTCTCAGATCTTGAACTCCAACCCTAACGGAAGAACTTAAAAAAACCTACACGTTGTGTATATATGCCATGAATACAGGACCGGCGCGAATGAAAAAAAGGAAGGATTTTTTTTCTTTTTCTTTTTTCATTTCTCTTCTTTTTGTATTGCTCTCATCGAGCGTTTGCTCGCTTTTTTTTTCACGATGAACCTCCATTCTCTCATACATCTCCTTTTCTTTTCATTTCACACAGTTGAAATTAATTTTTTTATTTCAATGTTCTTTTTTACTTGGCGACCATACGTTTCCTCCACATACCTGGAAGATTTAGGACACCAAGATCATAGAATCGGTTGTAATTACTATCAGGACATGCGTGTAGCTTGGCTTCAGCCATTCTGCATTTCTTGCATGGTCCTCTTCGTTTGTAATAAACATTTGTTAATAACGCAATACCGCTTGCTTTGTCTGGCTTTCTCATGGCATTTGAGAAACAAAACTTAAAAAAAAAAACAACAACAAAAAAAATAACAAATCAAAAAAGTTAAAAAAGATAAGAATGCAAAAAGGTCTCGGAAGAAGATTTATGTTCTGCTATTCATGCACTTTTTTATATTATACAGAATTGAAAAAACGGCGACACATTCTGTTCATATTGACATCGTGAATGTTTTTTACTCACACCGCATTCGTTTTTGTTTTCGGTCAATTTATAATAAGTATACTACATACAATCTATACTGCATTTAAATCATCAAGCTACCTCATGGAGTGAACAGCTTCCAAGGAAAGTCAGATGGAACGAGATCGTATCGATCATTAATGAAGCCTACCAAAAACTCCATGGCGTCGACCAGACGAGGACCCGGTCGGTTGAACATTTGATTTCCATCGACAACGGCAATCTTTACGCCGCGCTGTAGATACTCAGAGACCCAGCAACGAGCACCCGAGGACTTGTTTTTGTCAAGGATGGACCTTAGCTCCCGTTCCGTGGTAGGAATATCAAGTCCACAAGGTGCGACAATGACAACCTGAGCATCGAGATCGATGAATTTCTGATCTTCAATTGGAAACCTAAATAATCCCCCACCCCTAGGTAAGCATGGTGGTTTGTCACGACGGTAGTAGCATAGTGGGTTCTTACGATTTTCCCGCACCATCGTCTTGGTTTTTGGGTAGGTTGAGGGGGTGTATGCCACCTGCATCTTGGATCATTTGGGGAGTCCAGTGACCACCGATAAATATGGGTGCAATCCATTCCACGAACCCGACTGTGACTCGACTGCCCCTCTCGGAAACCAACTTAGCCCCTTGATCGCGAACACGTTGGACTCTTTGAAGCAACGACGATCGAACGGATTCTGCCTGGTCCGGGAACCCAAGGGCGGTACCTATTTCCGTTATGTTGGCGAGCACGTCTTGCAAATTTTGCGGATTCAACGTGATAACCGTCGGAACTAAATTTTTTGGGTTGGTGGGTAGTATCGTTTTTTAAGTGGAGAGAACGGGATAGCAAGCAATACATGGTAATGTGTCAAAGTGTACCTGGATTCAATTTTCGAGCAATTCGTTCAACGGTGACTAGATCAATGGAACACACATCACAAAGGTCCTAAGTGACCCAGGAACATGAATCAGCTCTATGTAGATCAAATCAAATAGAAAGGGATGAAAACGTTACTTGAGTTACGACCACATCTGGTTTCAATTTAGCCAAGGCCACAGCGTCCAAGTCGTACAGGCTCTGACCGGTGGAAAGAGACTCGGACACCTGCCGGTTGACGTCCTCCGAAGTGGTGAAGGTTGTTTTTGCCGCAGTAAGAATGGGTCTATTCGTAATGGAATGTGGAAAGTCGTCTGTGTGGGTTGACTGTGAGATCTATGAGAGTAGGGGAAGGATCTTGAGGAATGTAAAAGGGGGTTACCTTCGTGTGATCGGCCCACTAGAATTTCATGTGGCGCAACAAGGCAGATAATCTCTGCAGCAGATGGAAGCAGGGACACCACTCTCAGCGATGTGCCTAAAGATTTTGCAGCCATGGTAAGCAATTGTCAAAAGAATTTAAACTCGCAAAGCGAAGGTAAAGAAGGCACTGTCTATAGGTTGAAACTCAGAGCGCAGGAATGCTATGTTGGTGGCAAATTATTTGTGATCCCGGCTATGCAAACACATTGTAAGCAGTCAAAACAATGAACAGCTTCATCAAGAAAAGTTCGTTTTTGTTGATTTTTATTTCAATTGCTTTTTTGTCAAAAGGCTTCTCAGTGACGAGAATTATTATATACAGGCTCTACTAAACTTTTTTTTTTTTCGGCAACTTTTACACACACAAACTTAGTCGCTATCATCATCGCTATCGTCGTCAGATCCACCAATTTGAATTTCAACAGCATCGCCTGTGACTCCGTTCTTCTTGTCTTCAGCATGTTTCTCTTCAATTTTGGCCATCAAGTTCTTGGCGGTGTTGAAGATACCATTGGTAGATGCACCACAGGCAAAGCATTTGGGAGATTTGGTATAATGTTTGATGGCGCATTTTTCGCAAAAGTAGTGACCACACTTGGTGACAATGGGGTTGGTGAATTCCTGTCGACATATCAAGCAAGCAAACGGTAATTCGTCATCTGAGTCATCGTCGTCACTTTCAACAGCATACTGATCCCCAGCTCCACCACCAAATTGGGTTTTTTTCTTTTGTGCGTCTTCCCATTCCTTTTCTAACTGCCATCCACTCTTGTAGTCACCACGATCGTGCATGAAGATACATGAGTCGCCATATCCACAGAACCCAGTTTCCTTATAATCCTTGCACACGTCGGGCTGGTAATCGAATCGAGCGGTTACACGCAAATTGGCGGGCGCTCGGATGGGACCACGCTGCATCTTGGAGTTGGTAGGTTTCTTTTCTTCAACCTCCTTTGGCTTTTCCACGGCTTTTCTGGATTTCTTTGATTTATCTTGTTCCTCTGTTTGCAATAACCATTCGGTGTCGTATCGAGTGGCATCGCTCATCTTATCCGTATTGGCTGTCTTGGTTGCGTTGTATTTTACGCCTATAATCGAGTCCTCTTCGTCGTCCTTGCGGTCTCGTTTCGTTCCCTGAACCAAGGGATTGGAAGCTACTTTTCGTTCTTTGGTCACTACTTCCGAGATCACATCCTCCTCGACATGGGGCCGTTCGGGTGATGTTGACTTCTTTCGCTTCCGAAGGTTCTTGCTGGCCGATCGCTTTTTGAAAAAGGTGACATTTGAATCAGTATTACTGATTTGATCAGAGCGATCTTGAGTAGATTGTGTGTCTGCGGCTTGCATTAGTAATAGAGGTGAGGGTGATTCAGAGGAGCAGTAACTTATTTCAAAAATCCAGTTCACGTGATGCAAGTGACTGCTATATTCCTGGGCAGTGCTTTTGCGATGTTGATGTTGTTATTTTCCTGTGGTAACGACACTAACGCCTCACTTCAAACCAAAATGATAACAAGACGATGGTTTAAAAAATTCATTGTTTAAAATTAATATCCACACTCTCAAATTGGACGTTATGGCTGCTAGTTACACATAGGATGGGGACAAATCCCCCCAGACTGTTCAACGCCATCATCTGCGCCTCGTCAGGTTGCGCTTCAACCGTGGCGACAACCCGTCTGTTCGGAATTGCAGTAAACTCTCCTGTTCATAAAATTGGTTGAGTCTACATTTTCTCTGCTCAAGCCTAAGCCTCATTTTAATGCTCGCCCAAAGTTTCTTTTCTTTGTGGTTTAGTTTTATGATAGACATACAATGGTACTTCAATGGCTATTCCTCACTGGGGCAAGATCTTCCACATTTCTTGACGGATTGCTGTGGTCTGTGTGGAGGAGGCTTCGTTGCTTTTGTTTTTCACCTTATTTGGAGGTGTCGGTAAGAACGCCCTTGTACTCATGAAGCAAAGACGTGATTTGTTCTGGTTTAGCAAGAGAAAAAGAGGTGCACGTGAAATCTCGCATCCTGCCAGTCTAAACTAAAGCAATACTAGATTCATATGTCAAGACAATATTTGCTTTAGACTGTCTGTTCATCCCGCCGAACGGAGCAAAGGAATTAGAGTCTCAAACCATGGTGGGGGAGGGTCTTCCATGTCATAGAGGGATTTCAAGCGCCTATTGCCGTCACTTAATATGCGTCATAGTTCTGGTGGTTGCTTTAGGGGAAGCGAGATCAACAGAGTTTGGATTTACGGAGGTACAACAATTGTATGCAGTCAATCAAACTCTTTTTTTTTTGTTGGGGGGAGGAGGAAAGATTCGTCATTACATCAAGCAGTAGAAAGAAGAGTCGCCTAGTTAGAGCGTGGTTCAGTTTGTCACAGTAAATGTTCTCAAAATGGGAAGCCAGCAGATCTCTCCATGAACCAGCCAATAACAATGGCGTATTTATCATTCCGCTTCCTCCTGAAGATTTCGAGTCAAGGTAAAAGCGGACTACTGACAATTAAGCTGGAACCACAAAGGGATCCGCCAGTCGAGCAAATGACTTCCCGAATATTGCTTTCTTTTTATATCGTCAAGTCAAGGGAATTCAAAAAAAGAATTGTGCTAGTTTACGACTCCACTGATGCCATCATGCTGTAACTGAGCCGTCTTTTATTTTCTTGATCCTCGGTATACCGGAACTGGGATAGATTCGCTTTGAACCGAGCGATGGTCGATCTTTCAACATAAACGCGTTGAAGTGTGTGTGTATGTGCAACTTGCACTCCCAAATTTTTTTTATTATTATTATTATTTTTTTCTTCTCCCGCTTTAAGGTTTTTGTTGCTCTTGACTAGTGACCCAGGCCAGTGAAATTGAAGCACTAGTCTCCTTTAGGTAAGTAAAAAGTCAGCATAGAGATCCAAATGCCCGCCCGGACTTGTTGTAACATAGACAAAATATGTATATAACATTTGTTCTCTCTTCCTTTTTTTTTTTTTTTCCTTCCGTTTGTATGATCCAGGATTCATACCTCTTTATTTAAAGAAGCCAACCGTCTCTTCATTTTTTTCTTCTTTCCAACATACCCCTTTCTTCAAACAAAATGGTCCAAGGTGGAACTGAAAGTATACCATACCCTCAACCGATGACCATGCCTCATTATTCCAATATGATGATGGATGGTTATCATTCTGCTGCTGCTTTATATCCATCCGTGCGATCACCACAACCCATTGCCAAGAGTCATCATCCACAATCTACTACCGCGACGCATCAATTGATGTACGCTACAGCCGTTTCTTCACCTCGGCCGTCGTCCGCGAGTTATACGAGACGTCCACAACCTACTATGGGGGGTAACTATCATGTAGATATGGCACCCTCTTTACCACCTTTATCGCAACTGTTGCCTTCCTCCAAATCCTCTTCCGATCAAATGACAGCCGTGTATTCTCCTCCGCCACCCCCGTCACACCAAGCTGCATCGCAAGAAGCATATGAAGTAGCTCCGTCGGCGTACCTCCCTCTCAATGAACCCTATCCACAGCCTCAAACATACACCTCTGCCACCGATACTCCTGAACCTAGGGGTCATCATTCAAGACCAATCATGTCACCACGAACTTCTACACCACCTCATGCCATTCCCACCATGAACCAAGACATGATGCCTATGCAACCCAACGAGCCTTCTCAGATGACCGCGGCAGCTGCTGGCATGCACCCATTGCAAACGGTTGAAGGCATCTATGCCTATCATCCCATGATGAATGCTCCAAACTATGATGGTTCCATGATGCATATGCCGATGGATGAACCTCCTCATCATCACCACCATCACCTTGTACATAGCCAAGAAAGACATTCTTACGATAGTGCCAGCAGTGCATACTCCAAGCGTCAAAAGGTGTTTTCCTTTGTATCTCTTCCAGGCATCAATCAACCCAAGCGACCAAGAAGACGATACGATGAAATTGAGCGATTGTACCACTGCAACTGGCAGGGATGCAACAAGTCATACGGTACATTGAACCATTTGAATGCGCATGTCTCTATGCAGAAACACGTAAGTTGAAAGATACCTTTCATGCTTGACATCTATTTTTTCATTCGACTGATCCGTCTACTGTAGGGACCCAAACGTCAACCTACGGAATTCAAAGAACTGCGAAAGCAATGGCGTCGCAGCAAGAAGGAGCGCATGCAATCAGTGTAATATAGAATATGTCCAAGAAAATATCCCTCCTTTGATGAATCGACGCCGCCTGCAGCCAGCCAAAACCTCCATCTAATTAGTATCGCTTTTTTTGTGTGTTTCCATCCCCCACTATTTTTTGCTTTTTTTTGCTTTTGTTGTTGTTCTACCTACGCTCCTCATCGTTGACCTATTATGAATTATATTATTGTATTGTAGCAGCCCTATTTTTGCTTTTTGTGTACATGTCAATTAGTGTGGATTTTGGGATTTTTTCCTATGAATTAAATTAAGTTTTTTCACACTATACTTGACTGAGTATGTTTCACGAATCCATGGTTGATCATTTTGTGTATCAATCGCTCGTCCTGTTTGTGGTAAGTTAGCTCGTTCGGCAGAGGTGCAAACTCCTTTTTTTTTTTTTTTTTTTCAAACGGAGGTCCCCCCAACATTTTATTTTTTATTTTTAGGCGAGCGCAATAAAGCTACTGCATTTTAGAACAAGAGAGTTTTTTTTTTTTTTTTTTTCCAATCAATTTGACTGTTCAACCCAAAACGCCGACCGCAGAAGGCAGTACCTCATTGGATGACTAGCCTGGCAACCATGGAAATGACTTGCATTGTCTACAGCTTTTCAAAAGACACGCTCGGTTTAACCGAAAATAGCGTTACGGTTGGGATTTGCCATTGTCAACATTTTGAGCTACGCGACTTCCTGGGATTGTCCACTAGGTTGAAAGCGGAAACCAAGTATGACAATCCAAAAAGTTTCTACGCTTGCTCATCGGCATATGCGATACCCACGGACTTTAATACCAAACACTGTCAGAGCGAGATTAGAGACAAGCTGAGAGACTAAATTTTTAGACTTCTTTTTTTTGAAAAAGTGCTATGTACGCCGGTCACCACAGATGATGGCAAACAGATAGCTTTGTATGGGAGATGACGAAGGGGCGTTTTAAGGTCATTCCGGTACGAGGATAATGAAGGTTGGCTTCAGTGGCGCGCTCCCATCACTCGGTTTTTCAGAGGGGGGCGGGCGGCGGGGAAGAAGTTGAAATTGAACCGTGTGAAACGACGTGACATCGATCGCTTGTCCTGCACACAGCGGCTCCGCTGTAGTGTCGCCCCCGTCGCCATTGACTTTTGCTTGCCATGACGCATACATCAATTGCCCAAAAGAATTGGGAACTGGAAAATAATGTCACCACCCTCGATCCAGAGCAGGATTCTCTGTATTACTATGATGCCGACCAGCAGCGTACCATTGCTTCACAACAGCCTTGGAAGTCCGAGTACGTATCTCTCCATCGTATGATTCTTCTGCTGACCCTATAGAACCTTACTTTTGCTCCTGCTAGTCCCCACTATTACTCAAAAGTAAGAATATCAGCCGTTGCACTGATTAAAATGGTAAGTAGGGTTCTCGTTGGTTTCATTGACAACTCCAAACTCAGCCCTATGTGCCAGGTCACGCACGCGCGCTCCGGTGGCAACATTGAAGTGATGGGTTTGATGCAAGGAAAGGTGATAGGTGACACCATGATTGTCATGGATGCATTTGCATTGCCAGTCGAAGGAACAGAAACTCGCGTAAGTGCGCAAGATCAAGCCTACGAGTACATGGTGGCGTATATGGAAAAAATCAAAGAGGTAAGGATTTGAAGGGACAACGCAAAAATGGCTCACTACCTTAGCTAATACCAATCCATTAGGTCGGGCGTTTGGAAAATGTCATTGGTTGGTACCACTCTCACCCGGGATATGGATGCTGGTTGTCGGGCATTGATGTGAGCACGCAAATGTTGAACCAAAAGCATCAAGAGCCATTTGTGGCCGTCGTGGTGAGTGCCATTCCCCTTGCATTGCGATCCCTCCTACACTGCATTTACTAACCTGTCTGGGTCATTTCGTTTCCAAGATCGACCCAAACAGAACCATGTCGGCTGGTAAGGTCGACATTGGGGCGTTTCGAACATACCCCGAGGTACGGTACCCCCCAATGAAAGAAGGCTGTTCGTCCGCCCGCCGACTAACCTGCTTGTGTCAACCAGGGATACAAACCATCCGATGACAATCCTTCAGAATACCAAAGCATTCCTCTGAACAAAATTGAAGATTTTGGTGTTCACGCTCGATCGTACTATCCCCTGGAAGTCTCTCATTTCAAATCTTCTTTAGACACTCAATTGCTAGAACTATTATGGAACAAGTATTGGGTCAACACCTTATCGCAGTCTCCCCTTCTCACGGTACGTGCCCAGCATTAAAATGGGGGATATGCATAATTCGCTAACATTTTTGTGATGGTGATGTTCGATTTTCATTTTAGAACCGTGAATATTCTACGCATCAAATGTCAGATTTATCACAAAAATTGGAACAGGCAGAATCAGGCTTGCAATCACGTATGGCATATTTTGGAGATCGCAGAAAGGGTGAAGAAAGTCAATTAAGCAAAGCCACTAAAGACAGGTAAATGAACGGTGGTTGCACATTTTATTTTTAATCCCCCCCATTGCATTTACCTCCACTGACGCCATTCCGCTTTCTCAGTTCCAAAATCACAGTCGAAGCAGCGCATGGCTTAATATCACAGGTGCTGAAGCATTTGGTATTCAATCAAGTCAGACACGATCGTGTAGAGAGCAATTCCTTGTAAAAATATTAATAAATAAATAAAAAGGTCCACTCAACTCATCGTGCGCTCCCTCGGCTTACTGTCAGACACTTCTTCTTTTGTCAAGTTCGGCCTGTGATGATGTGTTACATTTCTATTATACCCGTACGACATGTCGGTGCAACATATCTTTATGCAGCCTTTTTTTTCCGGATTTCCACTTCACCCGACAAGCGGGAACGCTTCGAGCGGCATATCCTTTTACCAGCCTTCTTGACAAGCCGAGCGTCTGAGCTTCAGGTGCATTGACGTGCATCGCATAATTTAATTTTAAAATACAACTCAAACACCATTTAGATTTGATTGGTTTTCATCATTTATTTACGAGCCTGGTTCCCTCTAGTTTGACTGGCAGGTAGAATGGAAATATACATGAGGTAGGACGAAGGAACCGAGGAGAAGCGGGAAGATAGGCAATTAATGTATTCTGGGTAGTGTGTGTGTCTGTTATACAGTATCCGTCCATCGGTGTGACTCTATTTCACTTGTGCGTCTTTTCATGACGACTCAGTTGATCAGGGCGAGAAAATCTACGGTCACAACTGGGTAAAGAGCATTTGAACGGACGCTCGCCAGTATGCACTCGGGTCTGCCAAGAAAGTGTGAGCACCATTGTACATCGTGGGATGAACTTGTTCATTAACTTACATGCTTGGTAAGGTTACTGCTTTCAGCAAATCGTTTGTCACAACCTTCGAATTTGCAGCGGAAAGGCTTTTCACCAGAATGAACACGCTTGTGGATGGTAAGCGCTCCGGAGATGGAAAACTCCTTGGCACATCCAGCTTCAGGGCATCGGTAGGGCTTTTCACCGGTATGCCTACGCATATGTTGAGTCATGATGTTGGCCTCAGAGAACCGTTTGTTACAAATGTTACATTGATAAGGTTTGTCACCTTGAGTCGATGGAGTGAGTGAGTGAGTGGAACCATAAACCATACATTATTTCTATCACTGCTTTACCTGTATGGGTCTGGATATGACGCATGACCTTTTGCCGTTGGGTGAATGCGCGACCTTGTCGTTCACATTCCTCCCACGAGCATATATATTGACTCTTGCCAGTACCAATGTGCCGTTCGGAGAGATGGCCAGTGAGATCATCAAAGGATTCGAATCGAGTTTCGCATCCTTGCCAGTGACAGCCATGCTTGAGTTCAGGGGCACCCAAATGTTCTTCGCAAAGATGGGTCATCAAATCATCGGTGTCGTCTCTCTCTGTCTGACACGTTTCCCAGCGACATTGGTTGCTTGCTTTGATGGACTTGGACCCAACGTGCAGTTTGGTCAAGTGCGGAATGAGATCATCAATGCACTTGAACACCGCCGCACATGCAGCCCAGAGACACCGAGCTTCGCCTTGTTGTTCGTCAAGTTTACGCTTATGTCCAGCCGATGATGTATTTGCTGCTGCCACTGCTGCCTCAGACAAAGTAGCTAATGACGCAGTATCAACGCGATCCACATTGGAGGAACGACGTTCTTCCGAAGGTTGATTGTTCTCCTTCTGTTGCTGGGTGGTCAAGGCGTCTTGGTCAAGGCTGGCTATGGTGGGTGTAGTGGGGTCAGACAGACTCCTGGAACCCAACGATTGACGCTGACCATGTTGCGTTTGAGGCGTATTAAGTCTTACTGCATGATGAGTAAACGCATTATGTTGACGATGGTAATCAGAAATAGCCGTAGCAACAGGAGTAGGATTGGCAGGAGCTGGGGGCATCGTATAAGGTGCGATGGGTCTCAATGCCTGATAATGATGAGAAACCGCCGGTCGAAGTGCATAAGGTAAAGGCCGTTCTGGTGGAGAACAACATGACTGCGGTTGGGTTTCCTGGGCAGCTACCGGACAGCAATCTACACAACAATCGTCCACAATGGTAGTGCATGCAGCTGCTTGCGTTTTTGGAGAGCTCGATTCCACGCTAGCAGACGGGGTATGGGCTGCAACGGGGGATGTTGGGGGAGGTATTACGGGAGCAGCCTGCACCATTGGAGCCGGCGGCCAAGGCTGTCGGAATGCATTAACGGGAATATCTTGTGGATTAGCCACTACATAGATGATTTGTGGTTGAGGAAAATGGTGGTGATGTCGATGGTGGTGATGCGGCTCAGTCTCTTTGCAAACAGAGTCTGCTTGCGATGAAGAGGTTGTCAATGACGAAGCAAAATCGGTCATGCTTGGTTATAATAATTATTTGTCAACATCAACTATGAATTGATGTGTGAGAATGTCTAAGATTTTGCTGACTGAGGGGGAAAAAATTGTTTTTATTAAAATAAAAAATGGCCCACTCGAGGAGTCGAAAGGGTGACTTTCCCATGTCAGCAATGTTATTGTCAAACACCGAACGATTTATTGGTATCAAGGCATCCTCCAGGCACTGCACCACTATGTTCACAGGAAAAACTTCCTTGCAAGTCATAAAAACAACACACTCTTCACCTACCAGATAACAAAATGATGCTCATATACTCGATATATACCATCTCAGGGTTTGGTTCAGTATCATGCCTAATGGTACTTTCTCTGCCATTTGGCATTGGGTTAAGCACGCAGTTGTGATTGGGGCAAGGGATGGGGGGAAAAAAATCCGCTGGGCGGCCGAACATTGCCAGTCGCAAAGTGTGCTGGAGAAGATCACAGAAACAAAAAAAAATAATTCAAAGGGCGACGTAGCCTGAAGGCAAGAGAAAGGCAACTAGAGAGTTGGGGAAGAGCAGTTCATAAAATTAAAGTACTACGGAGATACACTTATGTAATGGACTATGTTTTCCCGTTATCAAGAAATATTCAGCGCACCCCAAAAGTTATTGGCATGTCCATTGCTTGGTGTTTGGGCCCTGGGCAGGTTTTGGGGAGGAAGAAGGAGACAGCCACCGACAAAGCCAGTCACAACAACCCAACCCGCTCACAACCGGCACAATAAATTATTGTTTCTGGGGACTTTTTCAATTCCCTTTTTATTGCAGCAACTCCCTTTCTCTACTCTCTGAAAACTTTTTGTTGTTGTCGATCGGTTATCGCTTTCTCCATCGAAGAAGCACGTATATATACACTCACACACACACACACACACACACACACACACACACCAATCCGTATATAAGCGTGCACACAATAGAGTTACCGGACAACCACATCTTTTTCTATAATTTACAACACACATTCCCATCTAGTCTATAAATCATACAAAGCATCCTATTACAATAACATCAACCATCATGTCCTCCTCCTCAAAGACCGTCTCGGAGCACTTTTTGGGTTAGTACTACTTTTTTGTCAAGTTACATTGTTAGGCGTTTTCTGACCTTGTTTCTTTTTTTAGGTGGAAACTCATTGAACAATGCACCAGCTGGCACTGTGCGAGATTTCGTTCAGGCCAATGAAGGTCATACTGTCATCACAAAGGTTCTTATCGCCAACAACGGTATGGCTGCTATGAAGGAGATTCGTTCCGTCCGAAAATGGGCCTACGAAACGTTTGGAAACGAACGTGCTATCGAATTCACTGTTATGGCCACTCCTGAGGATTTGAAGGCCAACGCAGAATACATCAGAATGGCAGATCAATACGTAGAAGTACCTGGAGGTAGCAACAACAACAACTACGCTAATGTTGAACTCATTGTTGATATTGCTGAGCGCACTGGTGTTCATGCTGTTTGGGCTGGTTGGTAAGTGTGAATTTGCGTTGGTGAAAGCTTTCCATAGCTTGGAGGTTATGTTTTTGGGGCAAGTCCGTGTAACGCTGGTTTTGAATGCGCCGATTGATTTTTTTAATATTTTTTTTTGGTTTTCCTTCTTTAGGGGCCACGCTTCTGAAAACCCTCGACTTCCTGAATCTTTGGCCAAGTCAAAGCACAGATGTGTCTTCATTGGTCCCCCGGGTTCCGCTATGAGATCACTTGGTGACAAGATCTCCTCTACCATCGTCGCACAGAGCGCTGATGTCCCTACCATGGGATGGAGCGGTGACGGTATTGACGAGGTCATCCGTACTCCTGAAGGCCACGTCATGGTCGCTGAAGATGTGTATGAAAAGGCTCTGGTTAGAACCGCTGAAGATGGTTTAGCTTCGGCTGAAAAGATTGGCTTCCCTGTCATGATCAAGGCTTCCGAAGGTGGTGGTGGTAAAGGTATCCGTAAGGTCGACAGTGCTGAAAACTTCAAGCAGCTTTTCGCTCAAGTCCAAGGTGAAATTCCTGGTTCTCCTATCTTCATCATGAAGCTCGCTGGCAATGCTCGCCATCTTGAAGTCCAACTTTTGGCCGATCAGTATGGCAACGCCATCAGTTTGTTCGGTCGTGATTGTTCCGTTCAACGTCGTCATCAAAAGATTATTGAAGAGGCTCCTGTCACCATCGCCAAACCCGATCGATTTGAGGCTATGGAAAAGGCCGCTGTCCGCTTGGCCAAGCTCGTCGGTTACGTGTCGGCTGGTACTGTTGAGTACCTTTACAGTCATCAACAAGACAACTTCTTTTTCTTGGAGTTGAACCCAAGACTTCAAGTTGAACATCCTACCACTGAGATGGTGTCTGGTGTCAATTTGCCCGCTGCTCAATTGCAGATTGCTATGGGTATCCCTCTTTACCGTATTCGTGATATTCGTGTCCTTTATGGTCTGCAACCCAACGGTACCTCTGAAATCGATTTCGATTTCGCTACCCAACAGGCCCAAGAGTCTCAACGCAAGCCTACTCCCAAGGGTCACGTTATTGCTGTCCGTATCACGGCTGAAAACCCAGATGCTGGTTTCAAGCCTTCTTCTGGTATGATGCAAGAACTCAATTTCCGTTCCAGTACAAATGTTTGGGGTTATTTCTCAGTTGTCTCCGCTGGTGGTCTTCACGAATTTGCTGACTCTCAATTTGGTCACATTTTCGCTTACGGTGAAAACCGTCAACAATCACGAAAGAACATGGTCGTTGCTTTGAAGGAATTGTCCATTCGTGGTGATTTCAGAACCACAGTTGAATACCTTATTCGTTTGTTGGAGACCCCCGACTTTGAGCATAACACCATCAACACTGGCTGGTTGGATACTCTTATTTCCAACAAGTTGACTGCCGAGCGTCCTGATACTACTCTCGCTGTCTTCTGCGGTGCTGTCACCAAGGCTCACAGCATGTCCATTGAATGCTGGCAACAATACAAGGCCAGCCTTGAAAAGGGTCAAATCCCTAGCAAGGACACTCTCAAGACCGTCTTCACTGTTGACTTTGTCTATGAGGAAGTCCGTTACAAGTTCACTGTCACTCGGTCTGGCCCTGATCTCTATACTCTCTACCTTAACGGTACCAAGACCATGGTCTCCGTTCGTGACTTGTCCGATGGTGGTCTCCTTGTCTCTATTGGTGGCAAGTCTCACACCACTTACTCTCGTGAGGAAGTCCAAGCCACTCGTATGATGATCGACGGTAAGACATGTTTGTTGGAGAAGGAAAGTGATCCTACCCAACTTCGTTCTCCTTCACCTGGTAAGCTTGTTAGCTTGCTTATTGAGAACGGTGATCACATTAAGGCTGGTCAAGCATTTGCTGAAATCGAGGTAAGCAGTTTGTTGGGCATACAGTGAGTTCTTTTTTTGCATGTATGGTTAACTTTTTTTTTTTTCCCATTAGGTCATGAAAATGTACATGCCTTTGATCGCAACGGAGGACGGTATTGTTCAATTCATTAAGCAGACCGGTGCTACTCTTGAGGCTGGTGATATCATTGGTATCCTCGCTTTAGATGACCCTACTCGTGTTAAGCAAGCCACTCCCTTCAATGGACAGGTTCCCTCTTTCGGACCTCCCCACATTGTTGGTGACAAGCCCATCCAAAAGTACATTGCCAATACCCGCATTCTTGATCTCATTTTGCAAGGTTTCGACAACCAATCTTTGGTCCAAGCTACCGTCAAGGAACTCACCGAGGTTTTGAGAAACCCTGCTTTGCCTTATTCCGAGGTGTTGTCCATGTTCTCTGTTCTTTCTGGTCGTATGCCTGCTCGTTTGGAGAACACTTTGGTCAGCATTACTGAGAAGGCTCGTGCTGCTGAAGAGGAATTCCCTGCCAAGCAATTGCAAGAGGCTGTTCAAGAATTTGTTCGCGCCAACATCAACACCCAGGCTGAAGCCACCAACTTGAAGAACTCTTTGGCTCCCCTTACTGACATCTTTGAGCGCTACAAGGATGGTCTTAAGCAACACGAATATGCTGTCATTGTTCAGTACATTGAAAAGTACTATGATGGTGAAATCCTTTTCAACGGCCAAGTTCGTGAAGAAGAAGTCATTCTTACTCTCAGAGATCAAAACAAGGATAACTTGGATAATGTCGTCAGCATTGTTCTTTCTCACGCCAAGGTGGTTAGCAAGAACAACTTGGTGTTGATGCTTTTGGATCTTATCAACCCTGCCTCTGGTGCTCTTGACAAGTACTTCACTACCGTCTTGAAGAAGTTGTCTGAGCTCGATACTCGTGCTACTCAAAAGGTTGCTCTCAAGGCTCGTGAATTGCTCATCCTTTGCCAACTTCCATCTTATGAAGAACGCAAGTCTCAAATGTACCAAATTCTTAAGAGTTCCGTCACTGAGAGTGTTTATGGTGGTGGCACCGAGTCGCGCCCTCCTAGCTATGACGCCTTCAAGGATTTGATTGATACCAAGATCAACGTTTTTGACGTTTTGCCTACTTTCTTCTACAATGAAGATCCATGGATCAGCTTGGCAGCCATTGAAGTTTACTGCCGTCGTTCTTACAACGCATACAAGATCTTGGACATCGATTACCAATTGGAAAACGATCCTTACGTTGTTGCCTGGAAGTTCTTGCTTCCTACTGCTGCTCGCTCTGTTGACTCTCCCAACAAGCGTATCGCTTCTCACTCTGATTTGACCTTCTTGCTTAGCAAGACTGAAGAGGAGCCCATCCGTACTGGTGCTATGATTGCATGCAAGTCCATCGAGCAACTCGAAGACAACTTGAACCGTGTTCTTTCTCCTTTCCTTGAGCAAGAACCTGCTTTCCCTGCTATGATGATGAACCGCCCCAACGGTGCTGCCAAGCCCAAGGTTCAGCGCATGGAAAACATTTTGAACCTTGCTCTTCAAAGCGATGCTGAACATGATGATGATTACTGGAAGCCCAAGGTCACTGAGTGGATCGCATCTCACGCTGAAGATTTCCGCAAGGCTAACCTTCGTCGTATCACCGTCGTTGTCTGCCGTGTCAACCAGTGGCCCGATTACTATACCTTCCGTGAGCAAAACGATTACTCTGAGGATCAGACCATTCGTCACATTGAGCCTGCTATGGCTTACCAACTTGAATTGGCTCGTCTTTCCAACTTCGATATCAAGCCTTGCCACATCGAGAACAGACAAATGCATGTCTACTATGCTGTTGCCAAGGAGAATCCCCATGATTGCCGTTTCTTCATTCGTGCCTTGGTTCGTCCTGGTCGTGTCAGAGACTCTGTCCGTACTGCTGATTACCTTATCTCTGAAAGTGATCGTCTGCTTAACGATATTCTTGACACCTTGGAAATCGTTGGTCAGCAATACAAGAACTCCGATTGTAACCATTTGTTCATCAACTTCATCCCCACCTTTGCTATTGAAGCTGAAGATGTCGAGAATGCTTTGAAGGGCTTCGTCGACCGTCACGGAAAGAGACTTTGGAAGCTTCGTGTCACAGGTGCTGAAATTCGTTTCAACGTTCAATCCAAGCGTTATGACTCCCCTATCATTCCTCTCAGATTCACTGTCGACAACGTTTCTGGTTTCATCTTGAAGGTTGATGTCTACCAAGAAGTCAAGACTGAAAAGGGTAACTGGGTCCTCAAGTCCATGAGCGGCGAGCCTGGCCCCATGCACTTGCAATCTTTGAGCACTCCTTACCCTACCAAGGAATGGTTGCAACCCCGTCGCTACAAGGCCCATCTTATGGGAACCACCTATGTTTATGATTTCCCTGAACTCTTCCGTCAATCCGTTCAAGTCGAATGGTCTAAGGCTGTCAAGGCTAACCCTGCATTGAAGGCTCCTTCCAATGTTCTTGAGAGCAAGGAATTGATGTTGGATGACGATGGTCAGCTTCAGGAAATTGATCGTGCTCCTGGTACGAACACGGTTGGTATGGTTGCCTGGCTCTTTAAGATGCGCACTCCCGAATATCCCCAGGGTCGTCGTGTTATTGTCATTGCCAACGATATCACGTTCAAGATTGGTTCTTTCGGTACCGCTGAAGATGACGTCTTCTACAAGGCTTCTGAATACGCTCGTACCCTTGGTATTCCTCGTGTCTACTTGTCTGCCAACTCTGGTGCTCGCATTGGTCTCGCTGATGAATTCATCAGTCAATTCAAGGCTGCCTGGAAGGATCCCGAAAACCCCTCTGCTGGTTTCAAGTATCTCTACTTGACTCCTGAGCTCAACCGCACCATCAACCAAAATGGTCAACCCACTATTCTCACTCAGGAAATTGTTGATGATGGTGAGACTCGTTACCGTATCACTGATGTGATCGGTTCTACTGATGGTTTGGGTGTTGAAAACTTGAGAGGCTCTGGTCTCATTGCCGGTGCTACTTCCCGTGCCTACGATGATATCTTCACCATTACCCTTGTTACCTGCCGCTCTGTTGGTATCGGTGCTTACCTTGTCCGTCTTGGTCAACGTACCGTTCAAAACGAAGGTCAACCTATCATCTTGACGGGTGCTCCTGCCTTGAACAAGGTTCTGGGTCGTGAAGTCTACAGCTCCAACTTGCAGTTGGGTGGTACTCAAATCATGTACAAGAATGGTGTGTCTCATTTGACCGCTGAGAACGATTTGGAAGGTATCGGAAAGATTGTTCACTGGTTGTCTTACATTCCTGAATGCCGTGGCGCACCGGTCACTATGGCTATTGGTGCTGACCCCGTTGACCGTGATATCGAGTACACTCCTCCTCGTGGACCTTCCGACCCTAGATGCTTCTTGGATGGTAAGGAAGAGAATGGCAAGTGGCTCAGTGGTTTCTTCGATCAAGGTTCTTTCGTGGAAACTTTGTCTGGTTGGGCTCGTACTGTGGTGGTTGGTCGTGCCCGTTTGGGTGGTATCCCCATGGGTGTTGTTGCTGTTGAGTCTCGCACGGTTGAGAACATCGTTCCTGCTGATCCTGCCAACGCTGATTCCACCGAACAATTGCTTATGGAAGCCGGTGGTGTCTGGTACCCCAACTCTGCCTACAAGACTGCTCAAGCTATCAACGATTTCAACAAGGGTGAACAACTTCCTTTGATTATCTTTGCTAACTGGCGTGGTTTCTCGGGTGGTCAACGTGATATGTTCAACGAAGTTCTCAAGTATGGTGCTCAAATTGTCGATGCTTTGAGCAACTACAAGCAACCTGTGTTCGTTTACGTCATTCCTAATGGTGAACTCCGTGGTGGTGCCTGGGTCGTCGTGGACCCCACTATCAACCAAGATATGATGGAGATGTATGCCGATGTCAAGGCACGTGGTGGTGTTCTCGAACCCGAAGGTATTGTTGAAATCAAGTACCGCCGCGCCCAACTGTTGGCTACCATGGAACGTTTGGATGAGAAGTATGCTAGCTTCAAGGCTCAAGTTGAAGATAGCTCCAAGACGGCTGAAGAGAAGGCTGAAGCTAAGCGACAGATGGAAGAACGTGAACAAGAACTTTTGCCTGTGTACCAACAGATTGCTTTGCAATTTGCTGACCTTCACGATACTGCTGGTCGTATGATGGCCAAGGGTGTCATTCGCAAGCCTTTGGAATGGAAGGATGCTAGACGTTACTTCTACTGGAGATTGCGTCGCAGACTTGGTGAAGAATATGTCTTCCGCTCTTTGTTGACGGCCAACGCCAAGTTGACCCGTGATTCCATGCTTGCCTTGTTGAAGCAGTGGTTCCAAGCTGATGTTGAGCAAGAGCATAACTGGGAAGACGATGATCAAGCTGTTAGCAACTGGTTCGATCACCACGCTACATCTATTCAAGACAGAATCAGCCGTATCAAGAGCTCTGCTACCAGTGACCAAATTCTTTCCCTTGGCTCCAACGATCAACAAGCTGTGGTTGATGGTTTTGCTAAGCTCCTGGAAAACATGAGCGCTGATGCTCGCAAGGAAGTTCTTAGACGATTGGCTGTGTCTGCTGGTATACAGTAAACTATGCTCGGAGCATCTTAATCTACATGACGGAATAGGATCCCTTGTATCCCAAACCATCTCTCTACAGTTTCGTAGTTGATTGTATATTAGTTTTTTTCTTTTCCAAAGACATTTCCCCCCGATTATCTTTCTATTCTTTTTTTTTGTATCTCAAATAAAACTATGCAGTGTGTGTGTGTAATCATTTAAATATCAAAAAGCAAAAAGTAAAGAAAAGTGCGATAGAATGTCAAGTTCTGGCTGAACGTCCGAAATGGGAATTTGGGCCAAGCGTCAAAGGCGATTTCGGCACTCTTTATTTTTTCTTCCATATCTTTTTTATTTTCTCTTCTGCTTTTGCGTACCTCCTTAATCTCTTCTTCCTTTCTTCTCTAATCTCTGCCAAGGACTCACGATGGAAACAGCTCTCTCGTCTGCTCCTGTGTCAGGTACTTCTTTTTAACCCATGCGCTTTCCTAATGGGGTTCAACCCCGCTGTGAGGATTGGACTTCAACCCATGGACGGACCATTGACAATCTCTCGTTCACAGATCATATAATCTTCTTTATACATGGTATGGGCCAGCAGTATGAGGAATTTGGCAACTTGAAAATACACGGTAAGCAGTCTAACTGATAACGCAATTTTGATGTTACGCTCAGTTTGGGACAACCTGGCATCTAATGATATCACTTGACATACACTGACTCTGTGGCCTGTTTTAGTCGCCACCCTTCAAAAGAACACTGAAGACCTTTTGGCTTCGTATTACCCAGATCGCTTGGTTCGTGTGAAGTATATACCTATCGGTAAGCAAGCGTTATGGTCATGTTGAGTCGGTTGTCATCTTTCATTGACTTTGCGTCGATATATAGAGTGGCATAGTGTTGTACATAAACTTGTCGATGGCAAAATGGACTTAACAACGCTGGGAACCGTGCCCAAAGTTCGCCTGGTCACCAATCATTGGGTTATGGATTGTCTTTACTGTGAGTTGTCCTTTTTCTTTGTTTGTCTTTAGGCGCTTGCGTATTTTTTATTTTGCTTAAAAAACTTCACCAGTATGGCTAATTTCAACGTTTATCGCCCTCTTTCTAACATAGATTTTACAAAACCTCACGGACAACGCATTATTGACACCATTTGTGAGCAATGCAATGATGCATACGAAAATCACATTGTAGAGTTTCCCGACTTTGTCAGTAACAAAGGTCAAGTTCATATGATGGGATGCTCACTAGGAGGAATCGCAGCATTTGATATTTTAGCTCAGCAATGGAACGAAGAGGATGGTAGACCGCCTTGGGAATCAGTGGAGGAGCAAGGTCTTGTTATTCGAAAACCCGAAATCAATGTGCCAAAGCTGAATTTCAATGTTAGCTCACTGTTTACCTGTGGAAGTCCCGTAGGTGAGTCTGCATGAGTGATGGCTTTTTTTCATATCATGGATAGGCGGCGGCAGCCAAGATGTAACAAAATGACAACATCCTAACTCTATTCCTTTTTTTCCTTTTCGACTCAACTCAGCGGCTACTCTTGTACTTCGTGGCCTGGACTTCCTTTACTACCGACCTCCACTGCGAACTAAAGTGTTGAATGTGTTCCATCCATTTGATCCGCTGGGTTATCGGATAGAGCCGATGATAAACAAGACATATGTCGACATCCAGCCCGTTCGAATCCATAAACTTCAACGGCGCAGAATCCTACCCGTGCCGTTACCAAAAATACCTAATTTGGGCATTAAATCATCCATTGCTGGAGCGGCCCCTCTTATCATGAGAGCGCGCCGAACTTTCCTGCGCTACATGATGACATCAGAAGGAACCCTTATCATGGACAAAAACATTACGGAACGCACGGTGCTTGATGCCAAGGGACAGAGCATCATGGAGGATGAACGCCATATCAAGAGTGCCGAAGAATTGCCATACGAAAGCCGAACCTCGGTTGATCTTTTACAAGACACTGGCCACGACGATGACGAGGAAGATAAAAATTCCGATGTCCGACGGTATGATAGTGCTCCCGAAGCCGAAGCAACGCCAGAGCGACCTTACATGAGCCGAAGAATTTCAACACGACATAAAACAACCGTACATCGTCGATCTCTTTCCGTACGTGATGGCGGGGAAGACCGGATATGGCTAGGAGCAGATGATACGTTAGGGCCTCGCTTTTTATACGAAAGTGAAGAATCTACCACCACCACGGTCACCGTCACAGAGGAACGTCCTATATGGAGCCGGAAATGGTTCCGTTTTGACAAGTCTCGTCCTAGCGACACTGTGTCTTCGGATAGCAAATCCTTCATCAATGCGCCACGAGAAGCGAGTGATGATGACAAGTCCACTACTTCAACCGACAAAACCTCCAAAGCCTCTAGTATCATGGGTATGGCTGGTACGGTGGCCACGGCAGCGCTTTCGGCCGTTGGCCTGAAATCGGACACGTCTTTGAACAACAGCCCTGTCATTGACGACACCAAGGACGACCACCCTGCCCAAGATCTTTATAAGAACGACCTCTCTATCGATGACCTTCCTAATGATCTCTCTGTTGAGGTTCTTTCAAAGCACAACCGCCTTACAGAAGAGGTTTCCAGAAATGAGCGGGCCAAAGAAGAGTCACCCAAATTAAAATCATACAACAGCCATAGTAGCATTCCCCCTCGTTCAAGTCGGACCCTGTCCAGCGATTACATTCGTGTCCCGGTGGAATATTCCTCCATTGTTCCCAACCTTGAAGCCATTGCCACGGCCAAGTCACCGGTATTTGAAGGGACGAATGCTGCCAATACCTACTTTTTCGAAAGTCGGCCGAATTCAATGACAGAATCTCGTACCACAAAGGTCAGAGATGATGATCTTAGCTCCGAATCATCCTATTCTACAGCTATTGGGTTGGAAGCATTTTCATCCCCAGCCTCACTCGATCGTGCGTCGCTCGTCATGACCATACCAGAGGATGACCTACTCGACCTCGATGCAGCCACGCCTACTCCGTCGGATGAGAAAGTTCTGGATAGTTATACAGCGGATGCCGAAGAAAGCAGCGATGACGACAACGAAACCAAGGTGGAGAAAAATGATGATGCAAGCGACGAAGAATCAAAGGCTGGAGATCAATTAATTGAAGGCAATGACGGTCTGCAATATCCTCGTATTGACTATGTGCTTAACGAGACGGTCATTGATGCCTATGCTTCCGAATGGATTGTTGCTATGAAGAGTCACTTCAAATACTGGGCCAACCGGTAAGGCTATTTTTGTTATTTTTTTTAGTCATGCTTGCTTGCTAACACAACCCTGACAGTGACTTGACCTATCATATTATCAAAACCCTTGTCGGCGATGACTAGGATGCCGTTGTAATATATCTCATTGAAAAACCATAACCCATCCCACTTTTTCAACATCCAAGTTTTGCATAAAACCCATCCCCAAGCCACCATGGATTTTTACCGGGTTTGCTTCCATAACCCCGGCTTTACCCTATAATAAAAAAAACACTTTTTCATAAAAAAAAAAAAGAAAACCATCCTACCATGCCATTGTACGTTTGCGCTGTGGACTCCTTTGCGGACGGATGCCGTAGAGGTTAAATCGGACCCGAAGGCAAAGTGACACAGTGAGGTGACTGGGGTGTCGGAGTTGTCATCATCAGTTTGTTTGACGGAAAATTGCGGGCCAGGCTGGAAAAGGATAATAGTGATCAGTTCTTCACGAGCGCATTATTTTTTCTCTAGTTTCTCTTCTTCCACACTTTTCTCATGGCCTCTCAAACACAACGCAAAGTCCCTGTTGCTCATACCATCACCAACATCGGGGGCACTCCCCCACAAGAAGCTATGGTCGACAAGATTGTCCAAGCATTCACCATTACCCCAGAGTATCTAGAGCAGATCACTCAACATTTCTTGAGTGAAATGCGCAAGGGTTTGAATCAAGAAGATCAGACTATTGCTATGATCCCTTCGTTCGTGGAAGGACGCTTAACAGGTGAAGAAATTGGCCAGTTTTTGGCCTTGGACTTGGGTGGCACCAATTTGCGCGTAGTACTGGTCGACCTTCAAGGCCGCGGGAACTTCACTACCAAGAGTACCAAATACAAAGTCAGCGAGCATTTGAAGACGGGAGATGTCAAGGAACTTTACAGTGAGTAGCGTTCGTCTATTGGCGTGGGGTCAAAGAACCGTGGATCAAGCTTTTTTTTTGGCTGATACCCAAAAATTGTCCGTTCATTCCTCGGAATCCAACTCACATTTTTGCCCTAACCCTTACAGACTTCATTGCCGACTGCATCGATTCATTCTTGACAGAACATAACCTGGATTATGGTACAGCCGATATTCATCTTGGTTATACCTTTTCATTCCCCGTCTACCAATCCAAGATCAACCGCGGACTTCAAAAGCAATGGACAAAGGGTTTCAACTGCTCCGGCGCTATTGGCAAGGACCCTGTTATTTTGTTGCAAGATGCTCTGGCTAAGAAGCACGTCCCTGTGCTCGTATCTGCCTTGGTCAACGATACCGTGGGTACCCTTTTGTCCAACGCCTACTCTAAGCCTGAGACCAATGCCGGTATCATCTTGGGTACTGGTTCCAATGGAGCTTACATAGAAAAGATGAGCAACATCCGAAAGTGGACAGGCGGAGCTACCAGCAGCGACGAAATGATCATTAATATGGAGTTTGGTGCTTTTGACAATGAACGCGTTATCTTGCCAGTCACTCCATGGGACAACAAACTTGACCGTGAATCCATCAACCCTCACAAGCAAATCTTCGAAAAGATGATTTCCGGAATGTACCTTGGTGAGATTGCTCGTAACGTCCTGTTGGAATTGGTCGACCGCACCTTGTTGTTCGAGGGCTATTCGTCCAAGGAGCTCAACAGCCAATGGGGCTTCGAAACCACGTATATGTCTACCATTGAAGCCGACCAAGGCGATTCATTGAAAAACACGCACCGTGTTTTGGCATCTAGCTTGAATATTCCCAATGTGTCAGAGGTCGACTGTCGTATCGTCAAGCGGGTATGCGACCTTGTCGGTACTCGTGCAGCTCGTCTGGCTGCCGCTGCCATTGCTGGTATCGTTCGTCAAAGCTCTTCTGTTCAGGATGGTTGTGACATTGGTATTGACGGTTCATTATACGAGTTCTATCCCTCGTTCGAACAACGAATTGAACAGGGTCTGACTGAACTCTTCCCCGATGTTCCCGATATCAACAAGAAGATCCGATTGGGTCTCGCTAAGGATGGTTCCGGCGTTGGTGCTGCTCTGTGTGCCTGTGTTGCCAAGAAGATGGCGGAAAGCAAGCCATCTCAATAGAAAGAACACTTTTGTGTAGGGAAGAAAGGGCAAGGAATGAGCCTTTTTTTCCTTTATTTTTTTTTTGTTCGACACCTTTCTGCCTTGTACTATGCTTTTTTTGCCACCTCTTTTTTTTTTGTGCATTTTCTTTTTACCACCATTAGGCCCCCCTTCACACACACACACCTTTGGCATTGTACTGCTCTTCTTCTGCTTGTGTTCATTGTATTCACCGCATTAGACTCTTTCGCTAATATATATATATTGTCGCTAAACGTCGTACCTTGTGATTGCATGAGTGAGTGAGTGAGAAACCCACCCATATCAAACTAAGGAGTATACAGTGTAAATATTGATTCAAAACCTTCCATGTTCAAAGTGGGTGGGTTTTTGGCCAGGTTCTTTCCCACGACGGGGCTGGCCGTCTTGTTACATACCTAGCGTGGCGTGCAGTAGGATTGACTGACAGCAGGGTCGTTTCAAGGGTTTGACATCTCATAGCTCGTAATGCCGTAAATAGTATTCCTGGTGGTTGTGTCTAGCCATGCCCCATTTTGGATCATCCCAGCAAGGCCACACATTCCTGTGTATAGCTTATTCACAACCGTGGATACATCGGCCAAGCTTCGATGAACAGTAACAATAGATTAAAAACAATCTAATCTATTGGAGATACCCCTTCTTTCAACCTACATTTGATCATATTGCCACTCACGCCATGTTGAGGATGCATTGCGGAAAGGGGTGGGTGACAGATGAATTCAAGTTTTACTAAGCGGGTGTCTTCCATCTAGAAACACAATTCAATCTGGACTCACTCACCTGAAAACGTGCAAGAAGAAATGCTGACGTGCCGAATAATACGATCACTTTCAGTTCTTCCCAAAAATTTTCTCTATCCTATCCCCTATGGCATGGCATGGCATGGAACCAATCAGAGGTGGTTTGTCAAAAGTGGGTATTGCTGCACATCGCGCATGCGTGGGGGATAGCCCCAACGAATTTTTGTGCCAAGCACTACAAGACCATCGTGTGGGGTTGAGTTTTCGCATGTATGTTTTCAATTTAGCCATGGGCGCGCGGAATGCAATGCAAGAAGGCAAAAAACCAACAGAAACCCCCCATTTCTGTCAGTCCCCGCGGTATGAGTCAATTCGTTGGGAATACTAAAGTTGGCATCAGTGGGGTGGGAATTAATACCTCGAATTATGCACGATCATCTCTTTTCTCCACACTCACGAGAGATATGATAAGATGATGTCCTTTGTCGGACACCTTTCTTCCAAGGGAGTACTACTCCGCGTTTTTTTCCCCTCTTGTATGTTCAACTATGGCTTTCCTTCTTGCTCACTCTTGGGCATGGTCGACCCTACGAGCGAACGAAAGAGCGCCACGGTTCTAAAACGCCTGCCATTACTCTGTAGGGAAACTGACCTCGCCCTTTCCAACGGTACAAACGAAATAAAAAAAAATATTTTTATTATTATTGTTATGATTATTTTACATCCCACCCTGACCTCCTTAAGCAGCTGTCTTCTCAGTGGGCTCCTCTTTCTTATACCAGTCAGTCTACGTAACAAATCGCTGGGCCCTGTTCGACTCAACTAAAGTGTCGATCTTCTCAACTTAATATAAATAGCCTCCCACCGACGCACTTTTTTTTGCTTCTACGCCGTTCAAGTCTCTTTCTCTCTCTCCACTCAAATGAGCTCAAACCCTTGCCACATCTGCGGATCCACTACTCACATCGCCTGGGTGTGCCCTAAGCGTAACCGACCGAGATAATGACCAGCCAGCCAGCGCTTCTGTAACATGGTTTTCCCGGTCTATTCTGGATGAAAAGCTCTTTATAATATCCCCGGTCTCCCACTGATGCCTCCCGTGTCATATACATACCCTTTGCTTTCTAATATTTCAAGTCCCGCTTGTCAACCTCAGAGTTACAATATGACAAAAATGCTGAGGTTTATTAATAAGAAAGAACAATACAAATATAAATAATGAGTAGATGTGCGATAAAACACATTAAAGAAAAAATTTTACAAATAAGATTTCATCGCTTGCCAAACAGGGTGAGTAAGCTGAATGATCGTCTGCTCTGGTTTTTCTTTGGGCTGCTGTGGGTTGGAAGGGTGGATCGAGGAGGGGCTCGTTGTTTAGCCTGTAGCTCCGATTCTAGTCGAGAAATGGAATGCTGCAGCTCCAAGGTTTGCTTTGTCATTACGCTTAATTTAATCTCCAATGTGTCGATTGTGCTTTTCGACTTGGATTGCTGGTCCTTCAATTTATACAGAAGCTCCTTTACAACTTTTTCATGATGCTCTTTGTGAATACTATGGTGCGGCACGGGTTCTTGTTGTGGGATGGGCGGAAGTGGGTTGTTAGGGGGTGGCAGCTGCGGTGGTAACGGTGTTTCCGGTCGAGGATTCAATCTTCGGCTACGACACCCGCTTCGTGGATTAGTCACGAGCGATGCAGACGATACATTGGAACCCGTGGACAGCCGGTTCATTAGTTTGACGGATATGGGGGATGGGTCTGTCGGCGACCCGTCGCTAGGCGTATAGTCGCCGCCTTCGGTTGAGGAAAGTTTCTTCAATAACGAATCCTTGTCCTGCATCAATTTGCTGTGATATGCTGAACGTTCATGTAAGTCCACTTGCTGGAGCTCGCACTTATGTTCAAGCGCCTTGACTTGTTTTCGCAAGTCCTCCACTTCACTAGAGTCACCTTGGGGGCTGCTGTCGGCTGGATTGGCCGCGTGCCAGACATTCAGGCTATTGACCAGTCCCAATAATTTTTCATGAATTTCCGCTAGCTCTCCTTGCTCAGGGCTAGCTTTTTTGGCTTGGTCAACCAGAATGTACATTTCAGAAATGACAGTACCGGGGGATCCACAAGACACAGGTAACGATGCGCTGGTAACGGATTGCAAAGAAGAAGCTGGGCTCGCATGAGCATGGCTGTTAATCAAATTCTTCACTGTCAGCGAGACATAGGAATCAGCTTGACTGTAGACGCTGGAGCTTGTGCTTTTGTTCGACGACCGTTTGGATGGCTGTAGTGACATAGGAGTACTTTCTCCTTCGGAACTAGGACGAGATTTTGACAGTTCGACAGGTGCAAAAGTCACCGCCACATCGTCAGGCAAGTGTGTATCATCGACGAAACGCTGTAAATCTTGCGTTGCTGATACCGCTGGTTGCACAGGTGAAGCGACCTCCGCAGTCTCATTTGCTGATGGGTCGTCGTTGTTAGCATGGCCATCGTCGTCCATTGCGTTCGTCTCAATAGCATTGGTGTCCACAACTTGCATGATTGGGATCTCATCCATAACTGGCGAAAAATCAACCTTAGGCAGCTCTATGTTTTCGCTGACTTCGCTTTCTATCGTCTGTTGGAATTCACCTTCTGGAGCCGATGATAGGGTGGGGCTATCCATTGTGTCGTCTTCTACCGTTGCTGGCGTTTGACTGATGTCGCTGGAGGATTTCTTCTTGGAAGGCTCAGACCCATTGCTGATAAAAGATGCTCGGCGGGAGGATGTGGGCGAGGCGACATCTTCATGGCGCTTTCTGACCGAAACCACTCCCAAGTTCTTTATTCGCTGCAACTCTTTGTCGACGGTCTTGTGCTTCGCATCACTCGTAGCATTTTTAAACCACTTTTCAGCAGCTTTTGTCCTGTGCGAAGCTGAAACCGAGCCAAAACGATCAGAAGCCATGTAAAAGGAATGCTCTAGGAGAAAAAGAAGTTTGATTAGTTTGTAAACCGAAACAACACCAAACAATGGCAGCGGAGTCCTATACATTTAATGTTCAGCTATCAATCGGATATTGCCGTCAGATTTGGTTGGCTAGGGTAAGTATGGAGACGGACGACAGCCGAGGAGGTTGCACAATGGATTTGTAACATGTAGGTAGTTTAGGGCATTTGACATGAAGGGTTTGTCCAATAAAGAAGTTCGTTTTGTAAAAAATTGTTTGTCTATCGCAGTAATCTGGCACCATCCCACCGTAATCAGACTCAAATTTTTCTATTTTTTTTTTTTTTAAATCCTCTCGCTGGCTGGTGAGAGTTTGCCCACCCAAAACAAGATTTATCCCGTTTTTTTTTTTTGGCCACACGTCTTTTTTGTCCAAACCTCCACCGATAAAGTCCACTCAGTTCGGCTATTCAAAGCAACTCCCGACTTCTTGCCAGCAGCCATCTCCCCAAACCTCATGCTGTTCATGTCATGAATCCATCAATGACCTCATTACAGGATTCACCAGAGGAATCTCACACTTACATTGGTGTGGTGGTGTCGGTTTGCGGCAATGTAAGGCATATTCAACCCTATCCTGACTAGACATATTGACTTAACTCGCTTTACTAGATTTTAATATCAGTGGCTCTAAATTTACAAAAATACGCTGTAAGTTTGTACATAAGCATGCCGTCGTGTCATACGATCGATGATCATAACAATACAATCATAGCACAACAAGTTGCAAGAAAGTACAAATTCGATTTCAGACTCCAATGGAACCCTTCCCTATTCTTCACCCCATATACCTAATGATGACGGTTCCTTTGCCAACCAAAAGTCGATTCCCGAAGAAGATAGTACAGATTATTTGAAGTCAAAGCTGTGGTGGGCCGGCATCTCGCTCATGGTGATAGGAGAAATTGGTAACTTTGTTGGTAAGTGTGTATCAGGAAAAAAAGCAGTGTCGTCACGATCATAGTTTCTCAGACAACCTTGCCCATCTTCCAGCCTATGGGTTTGCACCAGCTTCCACTATAGCACCCTTAGGAACCACCACCCTTGTTTTCAATGTAATATTAGCTCCCCTTTTGTTGAAGGAGCGGTTTCGATTCCGTGATATCTTGGGTGTCATGTTTGCGGTCTTCGGAGCTACCATCGTTGTACTCTCTTCTAAGCGTGAAGAAATTAAGGTAAGCGCAACGGTCGACCGAATTCTGTAAATAGTGTATGCATGAACGAGAACTAACGTAGAGTGATCTCGTCTTACAGTTATCCCCGGACCTTGTCGTCGAATATTTGACCAGCATGGAGGCTATCATCTACTATTCTATTACTGGTGGTCTCATACTGATATTAACAGTACTATCGCCACGATGGGGTTCAAAAAGCATCCTGATTGATCTTGGTTTAGTGGCTCTGTACGGTAAGACGAATATAACAACAAAATGGCTGTTTGCCATTATCTTGGCTGCAAGTTCTCATCTCTAACCCTTCGTGCAACAGGAGCGTACACTGTCTTGTCAACTAAAAGCGTATCATCTTTACTCAGCTTAACATTTTATAAAATGTTCACGTAAGTGTAAAACAGACGCACACTTTTTCCCATTGTCACCAGCACCCTGATCATGACATCATTTGTTTGCAGATATCCTGTATCATATGTCCTACTTTTTGTATTGGTATCGACGGCCGTTATCCAAATCAAATATCTGAACAAAGCTCTGCAAAGATTCGACGCAACAGCCGTTATTCCCACTCAATTCGTACTTTTTACCGTATCAGCTATTATCGGTAGTGCAGTTTTATATCGAGATTTCGACGATGTCTACGCTGAACAATTTGTGCACTTTGTTTTTGGCTGCATTATAGAGTTCCTTGGCGTTTACCTCATTACCGCGAACAGGAGAAACAGTGATATCAAGATTGCTGGTGATGAGTCTACCATGTCAAGCCATGGAGGACGTTCTCGTACTTCGTCTATTCAGTCAGAGCATGAGCAAGATATCGAGAGTGCAGGAGACCATGACACAGATACATTGTACAGCCATGTGGACATGCCCGTAACGGATACCACGCCATTACTGGTCAACCGGAGTCAAGACAAGCACAAAACCGACGACCATGTGCATGGAAGCGATCGGTACCGACGAAGCTCCGTCTTTCGGGGCATCTCTCTTGTCAGCCAATTGGCTGGCATGGGCGACAATAGCTATGAGAGTTCTAGCCACTTGTCTTCCTCCGTATCTTCCAAACGTGATAAGGCTTTACACACCGTCCAAAACACGGTCGGCCATATCCTGGGAGGCATCATACCCGCTGCAAAGCACCATTTCCATGATGACGAAGTCCTTGCAACCTCCATGGAAAGGAACAGCTCAGTTCCAATGGCCATACCACAGTTCCTCAATGAAGAACGCAATGCAGAACAAGATGAGCCTTTTGTTCTATCCGATGATGATGTTGACCCAGTCGACAGCCGTGGTGGTATCAAGTTACGCCGGAGCTCAACTTCGCTTCGTCGTAAGCGAGATGATGAACAATTGTGATATAGGAACCTGTATTTTTAATTTCGTTCGCTATCTTCATTAATTACGTTTGCTTAATATGCTCTTTTCCGTTAATACACTTCCTGTTCATTCTGAAAACCCAAGTATGTGACATGTGAGTGAGGTTACCAAACCCATCACAGAAGGTGTGAATATATAAATTACTCAGGGCGGTCAAATCCATTGCATGGTATGGCCCACATATATCACTGCTCAGTCCTTTCTTTCGAAACATCTGCTCAAACATGTCGACATGGTATCAAACTTTCAGGTTCGCCGCACACCAAAGTTGCTTTTGATATTTATTTTTTAATAATATTTTTGGAATCTATTGCAAGAGCCGCAATAAAAACACAAGCTTAGGCGCTGAGAGCTTGACGGAAGTAAGTCTTAAGAGGACCCTTGGTAGAGAGGTACTTGACGTGGCAACCATCGTTTCTGATCTTGCCTTCGGCACGAGCAGCAACGAACTCCTCACGGGACAACTTGGTGAAACCCCAGTTCTTGGAGACAATGATCTTTTGTTGACCAGGGAACTTGTACTTGCAGCGTCTGAGAGCCTCGACGACAACAGCCTTGTTGTTGTCCTTGGAACGGACGGAGAAGATAATCTGTCCAATGTTGACACGGGCAACGAGACCGTTGGGCTTACCGAAAGCACCACGCATACCGGTTTGCAATCTGAAGACAAAAAAAGAGTGTGAGCTCGGGTGGATACATTGCTTCGCTCAGACATTGGAATTTAGGACTTACCTATCGGCACCAGCGCAAGACAACATCTTGTTGATACGGGTGACGTGGAAAGGATGGACACGGATACGCATGTGGAAGGAGTCCTTACCGCTGGTCTTGGCCATATACTTGTTACAGCAAATACGACCAGCTTCAAGAGCTTCAGCGGAAAGCTGTTCATACTCGTTGGAAACGAGATGAATGCAGAGAGGGAAGTCGTCGACAGGAGCCTTCTTACGACCAAGATCGTAGATTCTTAGCTTGGCATCGGGGACACCACGGCAGAATCTGCTCTTGGGGTAGGGCTTGTTCTTGCAGTAACGATAACACCTTGCTGGACGGCGACCCATTGCTGAACTAGAAGAAAAAAGTGCGGGAATGAGTTAGCCAAAGGGAACCTAAAAATACATGCGGCTGATTTATAATGTTGACCCAATGTCGATGATGGTGAATGTGCAGAAGCCGGTCAGTGTGATCGATCCATCCATTCATCGGTGTGTTCATCCATTCGTCGATAGGTCGTTGCAATGTGAATCCATCTGGTATGGATGCTGTGATATCAATAATCATAATAACGGATGCATACCTTGATAAAAAGAGAAGGTTGTATCCGATGGCCTGGAGGTGCAATCAAATACGCCTGTGAGATGCCCTCGCAAAAATTGGCAGTCACGACCTGAAAAATTTGGGACCAATTGTTCGTTTTTTGTCCCTCTTGCCACGCTGTATCACCGACATTGGCCACTGATATTTCCCGCCCTCTACGTATAAATCGCCATATTGAATGGTGAATAGACATCTGCCATGACTTAAAATAAAACCGATGAGCTTGTAAAAGTTTGAATCGTCTCCCAAATTTTAATTGGAAAGGGCTCAATCAATTAATCATGTTTTGGATTAGAGTTGCAATCGCTCTAAAGGATATTTTGTGTGGTTATACAGATTAGATTATCCAAAGTTGCTCTTCTCCAACATGAGCGTAAATGGCGCTAGTAAGAATAAAGATAATACTAAGAAGAATAAGAACCGATGACATGTTTCTTTCATTGAGGTACTGAGGGGCTTTGCTAGCTTCTGTGGTTGTTTTAACGTACAAGTCATCAATGAGGAGTCGTCAAAAATTGACAAGGATTACAAATTCCTTTCACCAAGCGATTTCACGTAATACGGTTGATCACTGATCATCAGACAGTGACAATTGAGGTCGTTCTGAGAACTTGGTTAATGGAATACAACTGACTCTTCTGCCACAGAAATTCATGTTGCAGGCTTTCCTGGCCGTGCCTATGATGTATACAGGACAATTACTTTCTAAAGATTAAACTTTAACTGGAAAACTTCATTTTCTAGGCATTGTTCTATGATGATGCACATACGACCACCTTGTATAACCCTAAAGTGATTCATGGATTTAGTCACCTTTGAGAGTTGGATTAGCCCAATGGCCGTGCTTTCGGTTTGAAACAGCGACAGAGCCACCACGATGAAAGCATGGCCAACCACCTAGGATAACTACTGACCAAAAGAGCAATGGCACGTTTGTAGATTAAAATCTGATGCACAGTCGCATCCAACCGATTTCATGTAAAGATAAACAACAGTGGGGTTTGGCCTATCAAAAGCGTTATTTCGGATGTATCGAGGACATGTCACATTTGGTACAACCTGAAAAAACTGGGGGAATTTAAGAACAATTGGCCCGCCTGCCCACCCTCCTCGGAATCTAACCCGATCATGCTGCTTGCTCGAGCATTCCGCCTTCCATATGGCCAGCGTCTGTTCTCGTCAACCTCATTGGCTTACAAGACCCTCATTCAGTTTGAAAATGCCAATATTCACCGGTTTGGAAATTTGAATCCTGCATTCAAGGATCTGTCCTGGCAACTCAAAGAAGGCGAACGTTGGGTCGTGGTTGGAGCGGTCAGTGCCGGCAAAACCACGTTTGCTGAAGTATGTAAAATCATTCAATTTGCTGTCTCTGTTCACCAGTCATACGTAATAATACCACCTTTCAATTTGCCAGACCGTGGCGGGTAAACATTTAATTCAGCCTCTGACTGCTGGACAATGGCAGTTCATCAGCAAGGACAAGTCGCCTTATCCTTCCGATCACATCAAATTGGTTTCTTTTAGAGAGAACTCTTCTCTATTCAGTTATGGAAAGCACTATTATCAGGAACGATTCAACTTTAGTGATCCTGAAAACGATATTACTCTTCGTGATTACCTATTGAAGGATCAAATTGGCGACGATGCAGCCATTGACAACGTCTCCAAGTTACTCAGCATCGACCACATGCTCAATCTGTCTTTTATGAAACTTTCTAATGGTCAAACTCGACGCGCTCGTATTGCCCGAGCTTTGCTGACTAACCCAGAAATGTTGATCTTGGACGAACCGCTCAGTAAGAAGTCGACCATGTGGGCCACGAATCGAAAGTAGAACAATTCATACTCATCTCTTCTACGTTGCCATTGCAGTGGGACTGGACGTTGCCAACCGGTCAAAGATTTTGGATATCCTTGGTAACCTGTCGTCTCGCGTCCTGGTCGTGCTTAGACCGCAAGATGAACTGCCTGATTGGGCAACCAACGTGCTAGAGTTGGGAGACATGAAAATACAGTGGTCAGGAAAAGTAGACGAGTACAAGAAGAGAATTGCACAAGCTTCTGAAGAAAAGCAACAGGAAGACGACGATTACAAGCAAACCATACCCGAAGGCGGAGATCCTGTGGTTGAGCTTCGTGGTGTCAATGTATCGTATGGTGGACGAAAAATTATCAACGACCTTCATTGGACTGTTCGCCAAGGTGAACGATGGGCTCTGCTAGGACCCAATGGTACGATATTTTTCTGTTAGAAAACATGCATACACTGAGGATGGATAGCTAAACATGGGTATCCCGTTTACAGGATCTGGCAAAACGACACTTTTATCCCTGTTAACAGGTGACCATCCACAAGCTTACGCCAATGACATGTCGTTGTTTGGTAGAAAGAGGGGCAGTGGTGAATCCATTTGGGATATCAAACAGCGCATTGGTTTGGTCAGCCCGGAAATCCACTTGTATTTTAACCAACAGATGACTGCTCTGATGGCGGCAGGTACCGGCTTTTTCGACGTGGTTGTTCCTCGAAAACTGTCTACAGAACAAGAGACGTCGGTTCGTCAAATATTTGATGAATTTGATATGAAGGATCTGATGGACAGAAAGCTCATTGACATGTCGACGGGAGAACAGAGGATGGTTTTACTTGTCCGATCTTTGGTCAAGTCTCCGTCCTTGCTTATTTGGGATGAACCTTTTCAAGGCTTGGACGATAAGATGATCGGCCAAGTCACCAAGTGGCTTGAGAACCATATGCGCCCCGATCAAACTTTGATCATCGTTACCCATCATGAGGAAGAAATTCCTCGCGCTGTCAACCAGCGCCATATCCTCCCTATGATTTCTGACAAGGTACAATAAAACTGACTGACCGATCAGCGTGTGTATGACGACTATAGAGGATGAAGTAGAAATTTGTTTGTTTTTCAACATGATAATGAACCATAGGCTCCTTTTAGTGAATTGCATGCAACAGCTCTAGCATCAGCGGCATAACATGCCCCCACGGTCGTCTGTGCATGAGATACTCTTGGCAAGTCAACTAGTCGAACCTCTCTTGGAATAGCTGTATATACAAGCAGGAAGTATGAATTTATTGACGTATGTTTTATCAATGTATACAAAGTGTGGGGAGGTGGAACATGGAATTTTTTTTTCAATGGCAGGAAACAAAACCAACAGCGTAGGTAAGGGTTGGGTTGGGGGTATGCTGTGGCGGAATCAAAAGTAAGGTGTAATGACGGCTAAAGGATAGTTTATACAAGTTTCAGTGCTCAAACATTCAATATCACGCTCCAATAATACAATGGTTCTTACCAAATGTAGGGTATTGAGAGTACATGGCAGCGGCATGATAGCCACCATCGGCTTCCAATTCCGCTTGTTGCATTCGATAAGCCATTAATCGTCTTGCTCTCATTTGTCGCCGTGTCTGCCGTCGCAAGGCGTCGTCTTCGCTTTCAGGAGGAACCAGTCTGAACCAGGTTTTAAATCGTCGAAACCTTATGGTGGATGCAGCTATGGAGTGATTAAGAATGGAATCTGTGTCCGTTTGTTGTTGTGGTTGGGTGTGCTTTGTTGACGTATCTAAAAACAGAAACACATTCGGGTGGGTCAAATGATAAGGATGTACCCCGAAATGCCCCCAACCGACTAACTAACCTTGGCGTGCTTCGAATGTTTGACTGTAGTCTGCCTTACAGGTGGGGCAAGCTATTTGTTCTACTTTTAGAGTATTGGCAAACCATGTATCCACGCATTCGGTATGAAAGGTGTGTCCACAAGGTAGTTTTCGATAAAAGTCTTGTGGCAGATATTCCTCTAGACAGATAGCACACATATCTCTCCATTCCAAAGTCGTTTCACTGCCGTTGCCTGAAAAGTGTGAAAATCGTTCTTGGGATGGCGTATTGGGCATGTCTGGGTTGTAAATCGATGATTTGCCTTCAGGCGTTATAATGGATTTTTCATCACTCGTACTGTCCATGTTGACAAGCGTCGTACCATCAACGTCTATACGTGATGAAGGACATATGCTATCGACCACCTCTTTATTTATAATAATGCTGGAAGTGTTCGGTTTTTGTGTGATGCTACGATTCAATACAGTCGGTTGTGATGTTTCTTCAACTGCTTGTTCAGTATCTTGGCTGGATGGACTGTGTCTTCGTCGATACCAATTCAACACGAGATATCCAATCTGAAGATTCAAGTAAGAAGAATAAGCTTTTTATCGCAAGTCATTTTTTTTTTTTAAAAAAAAAAAACAGGATGTTGGTGCGTACCCAAAGACTGATAGCCAGCAGAAGTACGCCCAAGACTGCAAAAAATGCAATCATAGCGTTATTATTCGAAGTCCAAAATGTGTCGGGAATGGTGGTGTTGAAAGGAGGAGAAGGTTGAGAAGTATAATTTGTCGGGTTAGGTTTTTGAAGTGTTTCTATAATGTTTCCTGATGTAGGCGTAAGGGATGGCTCAGCTGGTGAGGCTCGTTTTTTCAGATCAATTTTATGTTGGACTTCAATACTGTTTGTCATAGAGGTGTGGCTGTATGGTTGGTCATATTTAGTGTAGCTCTCCTGATTTGCAAGGATATCATGACCAACTGCGGGTGAAAAGCCTCGTAAGGGGACCCAGCTCTAAACACTATTGGTAATACTTACTAAAGGTGCCATTGACTGGAGTGGAATCTCATACAATGTTGGCTGTTGAGAAATATAAACGAAAGGGACAAGAAAACATGCTGGGATGCCTTTTCATCTTTTTCAACACACAAACTTGCCCCCCTTCGCCAATACAGTCAGCCCAATGTCATCATCATCACCCACACTTGATCGTAATGATTCAGACATCAAATAAAGAAAAACTCCTTCGCTTGCCCCTAACAGAAGCACCATTTCATCACCTCCTTTGCATTGGGATCAGGGAGCTGGTGTGCTTCATGGTTTAAGTTCAGGTTAACGGCCCTGCTTTTCAATCAAAGTTCTACCTCTCACAACGACGGATGATATACGAGGCAGGTAAGACACAGTTTGCATTATGCGGAATAATAACAATCGAGGTAAGTCAAATATACTACAAAGAAAGAAATGGTGAAATAATTTACATCCATCGTCCATTAAGAAAAAGAAAAAATTGCCAAGCCCGAAATTATCATATGGACAGACGTACTGTGAAGAGTAAGAGGGGTATATAGTTTACATGGTGGGAATATTGGTGGTGCTTATGTAGTGGTTAGCGAAGCGGATGGTGGAGTTGTACCGACGAAAGATGAATGCCAACGCTTCAGTTCCTCCAGCACCAGGAAGGTGACAATAGTATGAGGGCCAAGCCTAAGGAAGGCTGGAGTCCATCCTTTGAACAGAGCACGGACACCTTCGATTTTTGCAATATCCACTAAATGCTTGACCAAAGTCTGATGTCGATGCTTGTTTGCGCTCATTATTCTCGTTTTCACTACATCGAGCGGCGAACACACGGTGGTAGCCACCAAACCCTGGAAACGTCATGTGAATTCAAGTGACGGCACGAAAATGATCTATAACCTTATTACTACTTACGGCAAAAATGCTCGCCTCCAAGTGGACCATAAATCCGTCCTTTAAATTCAACTGGTCCAGTAAAAATTGCTTAAATGCGTCGTAACTTGTCAGTTGAGAACATGTCATGAGAATCGCACGGTTCATGTTGGGGCCGATGCCTCGAGCTAACACTCTGGGGTTTTCCTCACGACAGATTCGTATTAGTCCGTCGATAGCATTCCGATAATTTCGTCGCATGGCCGGGGGCAGCTGACCATCATTCTGCATTCTGACGTTCACGACATCACTTGGGTTACCGAAAGCGCCTCCAAGTGCTCCCGCGGAAGTCGAACAAAAAAGCAATTGCCAGAACGTAGGCTCTAAAGGAAAATTCAATGTAAACAAAATTAAATTTCAAAATCGTCGCTTAATACCATGAGACATTAGGGGAGATAGCCAATTATGGCTTACCCACTCAAATCTCGAATAAATGACACTTACTCTCATCCTTGGCAACCCAAGCTTTGAACTGATCATATAGACCAAACCGGACGGTTGAATACGTTCCTTGTCTGAGTAAACTAGCCGACAAACCATTGTATACGCCAAGAATGCCCTCGTTGCGGACAATGTACACCATTGTCGTCAGCATTCCAGAAGCGCCAGACCCCTTGACGGTTTGTAATCTCACTTTAGTCAGGTCGAAAGGGTGGGATACCAGAGTGGCTACGCATGAGGCAGCCCCTCCGTACCAAAATGGAGCTGCCTTATTGTGTTGACCTCTGCTTGTCGATATAGGCGAAACCACCGAAATGGTCATTTGTGGGGAAGCGAAGAGAAAGAGACTAAAGAAAAAGCCCAGCTCTTGACAGCTCTCCACAATTTTGCCGATAAAAAAAAATACATAAAAAAATCATAATATCCAGTCGGAGTTAGCCAGGATGACTCCCTCGGAAAGTCTCTGAAGGAAAAATTTCACTGCCAATCGAACCTCCCCCCGTGCTCACTCACCATGCTGACTACCGTGGTTCGTCCATTCATTCGACCATGCCGTCCCAACTTCACGAGAACCTATGCTACTAGCTCAGGGAAAGAATTACCTTTCATATACCAATACGCTACCCCGCTGATGAAATGCACCGCCATTGCCATGGCCACCAATCTGACACTTCAAGCACTTTTTAACACCTTGGAGTATGCAGACTATCGCAAAGGCATGGATGGAAAGATGCAAGAAATTGAGGAAAGACTAAGGAAATTGGAAGGCAAAAGTGGTCACTCCTATTAGAATTGCCCAATTTGCATTTGACTGGCACCCCACCGAGTCCATATCCCTCACAATCTTTTTCATTGTTGTACATTTCGCGCTATTGAATAACATAATGCAATAAAATCTTATATTCACAAATCATTCAAGAAAAAATAATGATATCGTTTCTCATACTGGATGGTGTACTATATAAATTCGCTATCATGAATGCATAACGATAGATTAGCTGTTTCCTTTGGACACCTGCATAGCGATAACAGCAGCGCCTAAGCCTGAGCCATCATGGGATTGTGAGAACTTGATCTTCTGTTCAACGTCTTCTCCAAATAATTCCTTTAGCGCTTTCATCATATTATGTGAGAAGTGAGGATAGAACTCGAATACAGATCCATCCACAGCTGCTGTACAGGCATCTTGTGGTAAGAGATTGCAATGGGTCATAACGGCAGCCACACCGGCAGCAGACAGGCGAGCAGCTCGAATGCCGACCAAACGACAGAGTGTCTTGACCATTTCACGATCCAAGAGGGTAGTGCTAGGAATACCTAAGACTGTCTCGAGGACATATTGAGTGTCGGCCAAATCCGAGGATGTGTCGATTTCGATAGCTGACATGTGAGAAGTCTCAAAGCTCCATTTCTTGTTCAGCTCGGGGGAAGACTTGCCGTTGAACAGTAATAGTTGATCCACCAACCCCAAAGTCATGTTGCGAACAATCTCACCAAGGTACATGCCAGAAATCATTTTTTCATATATATGGGTACCGGGGTTGATGGATTCTCGATCCAATCTATTGTCATATATTGTCATGGGGAGGACTCTACGCTCTTCGTCAAACGCACCCCATTCCATGTTCACGACCATTTCATCAGAGGTGATATCGTCTTCCCATTTGGTGATGTTATCCATTTTTTCAAAATAGGCTATGAGCGTGTCAGTATAAGTGGAATGCACTGCGTTTATACAATTTGTACGTACCAGCATTCGTTCCAGTACCAAAAATGATACCCATGAAGGTGGTGGGGTCGCGATAAGCATGTGCCATGAGAGTTCCAACAGTATCATTTACAATCTGAAGTACAATTTATCATGAGATGGTGGGTATACAATCGATTTTTAGACAAAACGTGGGATTTCTTTTTTAACTTACAGCAGCAACGTTGACTTTCATGTTCTTGCGGCGGAAGGAATCTTGAAGCATAAGACCAGGATCCTTACCGATAGCACCGGTACAACAATAGCCTTTAGTCCATTGCATTAAATTACCACGATTAATGGTTCTCAAGTTCACTGGAAATGAAAAAGTGAAACCAAGCTGTAGGGTCTCGCTGTAGCTATCGGTGTCAATTTCGGTCAAAAACATATCGACGCTGTCCGCAATAAAGTCACACAATTGTCGCATCTCGCCGACTTTCATTGCTTCTGGTACGATATATTTTTGTTGCTGGATTTCAACCTTGCCATTGCCTAAGAGATCTACTTTGCAAACACGTAGATTGGTTCCGCCGAGATCGATGGCCAAGTATGTTCCGCTCTCCATGCCTGTAGGTTTGCCAGTGACAAAAGAAGGAATCATAGCAACTATGGCAATGGAACTGTTAATCAATATGATGCGTGTCAATTATAAGCGTAGATATATACCTTTTGCTCCATGTCTCTCCAAACCCTTTTGCATCTCAAAAGTAAACTGCTTCACGATACTACGTAATTTATCCGTGGTGATTTCGAATTCTTTCCCCAACTCCTTCAGAGCCTGCTTCTGTTCTTGACTACCATCAAATTCGTTAAGTTCTTGAAGGTTCAAAGACGAAACCTTTCGCGAAAGCCAAGCAGACATATTTTTTCGTCTAAAAAGAGGTGAGAAACAAAGAATATACAATAACCCTAGCTTGATTGATATCCGTTTTTTTTCATGTCTCAAAATCGGTTATTTGCCGAGAGTGGGATGGTTTTCATCGTTGTGACTGCCAAAATGCTTTAAAGCACCTGCCTGAAAATGGAAAAAAAAAAGTCCTCCAGTAAACTGTGCGATCCATTTTGACCTGATGTCAACCATTGAACGTTTATTCGCATCAGGGATACCTTCCATGGCCCAGTTGGCCCGCCAGAAAAAGGAGGGGAATATAGCAAAGGATGAAAATAAAAAATCTGATGATAGTTTCGTAAAAACTGTTCCAGAGCAGACCCAAGCTTCCGCTCTGCCGGAGCACTCCACCCCACTCAGACAATCCAAGGCACCACCGTCTAATGTCATGGAATCGACGCCCACTATGGTAGACAATCACTCCAAGAGTCACACTTTAGATATCACCATACCCATACAGGACCGTACGCTCCCTAACCAGATGTCAGCTTCAGCCGCAGGCAATGAGCAGCTGCCAGTAAAAGGATTCACTCAAAGTACTAGCCATGACAGAGCTAGCGGCCAGGCTGTTCAAGCTAGAAACAACAAGGCAAATAATTTCAATGGTGCAGAGGATTCTCGTAAAAAGAAGAAGAAGAACAAGGGCAAGGGAAAGGTATATGGTTGGAAATTCTGACCGATGATCACCGAGAGTATACATTAACATGATGTTTTCCATCAACTTAGCAGCCCGCCAAAATCAAAATCAGCCGTCCTCATCCTCATCTTCACCCTCACCCTCATCCCGACTCCATGGATAGCTCTGCAGCTAAAGATTTTGATGATTTCGATGCCTTGCTGAGAGCACATGAACAGCCAATTGTTACCACTCCAGTTCGGGACTCACACGGAGGACAATATCCTAATGCTCCACCTCAGGTAAGCCAGAGATATATTTTCAAGAAGGTCAGGCGAATGAACTAGAAAAGTGAATTGATGTGTTGTTATTTTATCATTTAGGACGAAAGCGAGGCCAATATTGAAGATGTTGCAGCAAAAAGTAAGTAAGGAAGATAGTCATTGCATGTCGGGATCCGTATATTAACAATTCCCTCATAGTTTTGGGAAGACGACCGAAACCAAAAAATGATCGACAAAAGCAAAAACGAAAGCACAATTCAGCAGAAGATGGCAGGTCAGAAATGAACAAGGATGGTCCGCGAAAAAAGCAAGCCGTCGAAAAAACACCATTTGTGCCTCGAGTAGTATGCAAGTTTTGGGAAGGCGGATACTGTTCCAATGTAAGTATCAAGGCACATCTTGTTCGATGCATACTGTTTCAATCGGTGGGATCAAAGTTCTCATTCATCTCTTTCAACGAATTAGGGTGATAAATGTACATTTTTGCATGCGGGAGAACAAAAAGTGGTGTCCAACAAAGCTGATCCCAAAAATATTTTGTGTCGCCATTTTATTACTGGGTCTTGTCGGAAGGGAGATCTCTGCCCATTTTCTCATGTAGGTTTCTCTGACATATTGATCCCTTGCAGATATCGCTGTTACTAATTACAATTGTGTTTAATCAGAACACCAAGTTAGAGGCATGCAGACATTTTCATGTCAAGGGTATTTGCCTTACGGGTGAGGACTGTCCTTTTGCACACGAGGATGCCACTGCCGAGTCACTGGCTGCCATGAGGAACAAAAACACGCCTTGTCGATTTTACCACTTGAAAGGGTTCTGTACCTCCGGTGACGACTGTCTGTATTCTCACCAAAATCAATCTGACGATCGGCTGTCACAGCTCAAAGAGTCAGAGACATGTAAATACTTCCTTAGCGGCAATTGCCTTGCTGGTGACGAATGCCTTTTCTCCCACGATGTAAATAGCACCAGCGCGCCATCTGTGCCTGAGTATACCAAAGCAACATCTGTTCCTCAGCCAACCATGGCTAACTTCGAGCTGAAGCTAGAGTAATAGATCCTTAGCAATCTTATTCCTGACGATAGACCTTTTATCAGTAGCAGTAAACAACACAAGCATGTTACATTGAATAATTTAATGACTTTTCCCAATATAAAGTTCAGTAAAGGACTTTTTGAAACGATGGTGTAAAATAATAGTGTATGTGAAGCACTGAAGAGCACACATGAGGCATTTAGAGTCAAGAGTGTGCTTCGGTTGCTCATTAGAATATTACGGCCTTCAACTGTCATTCTGCTGGAAGCGCTGACTATCTGCTTTATAGAAAGAGATACATAGGTTCAAATCATACCATCATGTTACGTTTTACTTAATCCCATGTTGAGTGGTAGGTAATGCACTTCAGCTAAACATTATATCGCAATTGCCCTCAAACACTAAAGCTCATTTTGGCGTATGACGCTCCATCATCGAGCTCGACTTTAGTAGTAGTCCGTGCGCAAATCCCAAACCATAAACTTATTCGTTGAGCAGTTGCTAGAACTTGCATGATCTCATTGTTGTCGCGCGCTCAACCCCTCCCCTCACATTATACAGAAAGCCATAGTTTACAACTTTTGAAATTTGTATTTTGGTTTTAAAGCATGCTTACAACTATATGCTAATGCAATGGGATTGTATGCAACCGCTTATTGTTGTTGCTCACGACGGCCACGGCCTATAAAATACACGAATTAGAATAATCAAACACAGCTAGGTCCACATATTACAACAAGGACTTACCGAGACCACCACGGAACTCTGGCTTGAATTCACCAGAAGCACCCTCCTTGCGGCGGTAGTCATCGCGCTCGCGACGGAAACCTTCACGGCCCTCACCAGCTAATTTAAAAAATAGAAGCATTAGCAACGACAATAAAAATTCATCCTATAGTCGATTCTGATGATTCAACTTACCAGGACGACGAGGAGCAGCGGGACGAGCAGCCTTCTTGAGGGTAGCGGGGACGATCTCAGTGGGAAGGTGCAAGACTAAGGTAGCAAATGACGTATTAACAATCAATGATTCTGACTAAATTTTCACTCAAGGCTTCTCTCGTATACTCACACTCGCGGAGGTAGTCAATACCCTCGTTGGTAAGAGAGTAGTAGTAGTATTGCCAAGAGAACTGAGTCTTGACGTAACCGCGGGAGGTCAAGGATTGCATAGCCTTGATGACCTGCAAGTTAGGGACATCAATGTCCTGGTGCTTGGGGAGGTTGTAGTCCTTGGGGGCGACCAAAACACCGTCTATGGACAAGAATGGAATTAAAACATTGACATTCCCCAAAAAAAAATCTCCAGGGCTGATCGCTCAATGGTCTTACCCTTGAAAAGAGCCTCGTAGATAGCCTTTCTGTTCTCCTTGGTAATAAGCATACTGGGCTGTACAAGAAAACGTAAGTGTTGGAAATTAGCAACGAGTTCGATAAAGGTCACAAAGGTGCATCGACAATGGCCAGCCAATCTCAGTATTCAATGTGCAAATTCAACTCGTAATGTCTTCGTAGCCGAACTATCATTACTGGATAGATTGATGCGATACACTGGATTGCTGTTGTGGCCGGTATTTGACGTCGATGGATCACCATGGATGGATGGATGCTACACACCTGAGGTGGGATGAAAAAAGAGAAGGCTTATTGGGATGCACTGCCCACAGTCTAAAATGGAATTGCCCGCAGAGAATCTGAGGCTGGTGACGACATAAAATTTAATTTTGTGTTGGAATTCAATTTTTGAAAATCTTTACAAGCGTGCATTGGTATGCTTGATTCAACGCCTTTACACGAGCGTTCCTCCCTCTTGCTTTTCGAAAGACATAATATACTCATAAACACATTTTTAACAGTATATCTTGAATCGCATAGCTCTCGAGTCAATTTACTTTTCTTGATAGTTTGCAGGTATGAACGTCAAGTGTTACAGTATTTACAATGCTTGATGGACAGTTGAATTATAACAACTGCAAAAATAAAAATAAAACGTCATTACATTTTCTATATCAAACTATTCTGCTTCAAAGATACGTTTGTTGTATATAACTTTGGTATTGATTGGGATTCGTTAAGATGATGGGTCTTCGTCTGGCTCGACCGTGTCCCCAAACATCGTCATAAAACTGGTTCTTGACAGCCATGGCAGCCGACATATCCGAATCATTGTCTGTAGATATATGCTCCAAAGATAAATAGTCGAGGTTTTGTAGATCTTTGTCCCAGTTGATCACCAGGATGGAACCATATCCACATATCACCTCAGGTGTAATCCAATCGTGGTATCCAATATCCCAAAACTGCAGCATCCTCAATCCTTTCGACAGAACAGATAAAGCTCCATACCCATCGTCTTTCTGGAGCATGCCCGCCAAGGACAATGATGTCAAATGCGGTAGCGTGGTAACAATGAGCTCAGACGTAGCAAGTCCTGGAAGATGCGGTCGAAAGAAGGAAATATCCAGCGACGTAAGCTGTGTCAGTCTGGTCGTAATTACCCATTGTTTCGATAGGTCTATCACAGGATTGATTAGGCGTGCGACCCGAAACAAACTCGCAAACCGGCCATCGTCGTACTTGTCGGATATGGACGTTACAGCTGTGTTTTCTTCCAATTCGTCGTCGTCGTCTAGTTCTTCCCATGTGTCTTTACTCTCCTTCGTTCGTTGGATATATTTCGTCTCTAACTTCCAGAACGTCCTGTAAAACAAATCCAAGGACAACGTGCAATTTTCTAAACACAAGTCGTTCAAGTCAAGTACCCCCATCATCTTGAGAATCCTGTCGTTAACACCGCCAAGCTCAGAAATAGCGCGCAATAGAAACTCCTTCAAATGTATAGGAGTGCTGGCTAAAGTTCTTGACAGACGTGCCGCATGCTCTTGACTGTAGATAATTTGATATGCCACTGTGTAGGTGCAAATTTCACGAAGTGACCTGACTCCAATTCTCGCCTTGTTTCTCTTCTGGATTCTCTCTGTAATGTTCTGTTTTTCATGAACTGCGGTACTTTTAGCTCTCATGGCTGCAATCCAAGACCTTGGGGCTTGAGGTCCTGGAACCCTTCTGTTCGTACCTTGAGTATTATTTTGAGGACGAATCTCGGGTAGTGGTGTTCCAGATTCGAAGTTGTAGAAGGGATGGATATCTTGCAGCTGTGTCTGTCGTTGTATATTTCCTCCTTGCACCGTACGGCGGCTTCTTGCATTTTCTATTCGTAATTGTTGCAGTTGCGCCGTTACTGACATCTCCCCTGCCACATCACTCGAATTGTCATGAGGAGTGTGATTGTTGAGTACATTGGAGGAATGGTGGTGTGGAACGGAGTGCTTGGAGTATTGATGCTTGACCTTGATTTTGGGCTTCACCATGCTCAAACCCGAAACTTTGCAACATGCATGTTATAAATAGTCACAGATCGTCGCGGCAAAACATTAAACCAGGCGATGATTCATAGACTGCAAAAAAGTATAAATAGGTGGCATCATCCATGAAACAGAAATATCATTACAATTTTTCGACAACAAAAATGGCAACCTTCTCTAACAAAACATTCAACAGCGGCCTCGTAAGTCTCCAAAATCACGTTTTGCTCTGTTGAACTACCCTTAAATTAGTAATTACTGACTTTCGGGCTGCCAGTACGCTGAATTTCGCCCTATATACAACAAGGCGACATACGACTTGATTTACGACTATCATAGCAAGAAGGGCGGTCAGTTTGAAGTCGCCGTCGATGTTGCTACCGGAACTGGCCAGGCAGCTTCTCATTTGGCCGACAAATTCAAGAAAGTACACGGAACTGATCTATCAGCAAGAGTAAGCGTACATAACCATTTTAAATCACCACCACAACAAGGTCCGCCGTACTAATAACAACTTATATTCAGATGCTGGAGTCAGCAGTGAAGAAAGACAACATCGATTACCAAGCTTGCCCTGCTGAAAGTCTTCCTTTTGCAGACGCCAGTGTTGACTTGCTTACCACATTTGAGGCTATGCATTATTTCGATACCGATCGCTTTTTTAAAGAAGTCAAACGAGTCCTAAAGCCTAATGGCACTCTGGCTATTTTGGTGTATAATCTCCCAATCATCAAGGATGAACCAGAGATGAATTTGCGCTTTGAAGAACTTGTTTCTATAGCGTTGAAAGATTCTTGGAGTGAGTATCTGCACGCATCTGTAACATGACAGGTAAGAGACGTTAACATGTATGTTGCATCAGATACAGGAATGGATTCAGTCAAAAGTCTCTACAGCAACATTCACATAGTGAGTATTCGTCTGCAGGTAGGAAATGGAATGACGTGTAGAAACTAACATGACAACAAATGTAGCCCTTCCAGGACCTGAAGCGGTGGTTCAGTCCTGAGGCGGCTGATGTTCAACAGATCGGTAGTACTACAACTGAGCCAATTCTGGAACAAAAGATGAGCTTGACCCAGTTTAAGCAGTATTGCAAAACTTGGAGTAGCTACGCCAGATACCTCGAAAATCATACAGATGATCCCATAGATGAAATGATCGATGATTTTGCCAAAATAGCTCAAGCTGATGACCTTGACAGCCACTACATAACACCTCAATGGGCTACCTGTTTGATTTTAGGCACCTATAAGCAGGAGTAGACTTCATAATCAAAGCTTTGCTGTCTCTCTCTTAAATAAATAGTGGCGTCCTATACATAACTCCCATTCTATGGCATATTTATCACAAAAAAGCAAAGTACGAAAAGTCGAATAAAATAATACATTCGTTTTAGTAACGAATAGAAACAAACAAATGTCCCTCATTACCCTAGAAAAAATAATAAGGTGGCAAAGAAACAAGGGACAACACATTAAGAGGTCAGCAATAGTTCAAAACGTTCATGAGAGGTCTGCATCCTCCAAAAATCGATAAGAAAATCTAAAGGAAATAAGGTACATTAGCACACAATATTCCCACAATGTTAGTGATATCGTATAGACACTCACCGGAAGTCAGTCTTCTTCCTCTGGCACCATGCACCTTCATAATCAAAATATACATATGTGCCTTGCTCATACTCTTCCGTAATAACACTTGGTTCTTCATGTCGTTGGAACCATGTAAGGTACTTTTTGTGGAATCGCCATGACTGCTTCTTCAATTCTCGTGCGGCAAGGTACCTATGACATCGGTTCAGTAACAAGCAAACAAGAAAACATTTGTAACAGCATATCTCTTCCAAATACTCACTGCTGATATGTGCCTTGCTGGTAGTAGAATATGAAGAAGAGGGCGTCTGTATCAAACTTTTCGAATATTGCGGGATTATCAAAGACTGCCAATGGTTGCTGTGGATAATAACTTGGCGTAGGATAAGGATTCTTTGGCTGATAATACTTTGGTCTATCGGAATCCGTCACATCAGGAACAAACTGATAGCTAGTGTCCAGCATTTGATGCGTATACAGTTTGTCATCTTGTTTTTGGGCTAAACAATATCGTCACTTAGTATCAAATGTTTATAGCAATAGACAATTAACAGTCATCCACTAACCTTTATCCTTGACTGCTTGGAAAGCAGACACCAAATCCGACAGTGCTGACGGGAATTGGGTCTCTATAGCGTTTAACGGTTGCTCATTTGGTGGAAGCGAAGTAAACTCTACAGAATGATTCTGTTGGCCAGATAATTATCAGCTCTGACATCGTAAAACATCTTACATTGCACATTTTTTACCTGGCTTTCTGCTGTGTTGGCCCTTGTAGGCGTAGAAATAGCAGATGTTGGCGTTGGTGGTGCTGGTGCCTTATCCTGCGGTGGTGCAGATGCTGGTAGGAACACATTGGTTGCTGGCGCTTCTGAAGTTGCGGGCTTCGCAATATCTGGAACAACCTTTGGTGGCTCTACCCATGCTGACTGTATAGGTGCTGGTGCTGGTATTGGTTCTGTATGTTTCAATTCTATATTTGGTACATCATTTAGTAAATCTTTTCATACATTCATCATGGCTATCCAACGTAATTGCAAAGCCTTACCCTTCTTTTGTGACTCGGGTGATTCACTATGACCAGCGCCAGCTGCAGCTTGTGCGTATCGAATGGTTGGAGTGACGACATGCGCTGGTTCAGGCAGTTTTGCTGTTGTTGGTGCTGGAGGTGACTTAGCTTGAACAGTTACTGCTGCCTTTGTTTGTTGTGGAGACTCCGGTTTTGCTAAATCAAGCATATGTTAATCCAAAGCATGTATAACGCGAGTTAAAAACAATATCAACAACATACCTTCTTCGGCTGGTACTTCAGCTGCTGTAAGGAAGAATATATAAATGTTAGCAAAGATGAGCGCTTCCAGAAGTATACGAAATATGTATTGATGATCTTACCTCTAGTCGCTATAGGACTTGAGGCTGGCTTGGGTTCCTGAATGCCAGAGAGAAAGGCGACATTTAGTACGCGTTCATTCATTGAATAAGCGCAAGGGATCAAACATACTTCTTCTTCTTTGCTCGGACGCTTCGTTATTGGCTTAAGCTCTTCCTTGCTTTCCACATCGTCTTTGATACCAGAAGAGTCAGTAAACGAAAAAAAAAATTGACATTGTTTACGCCAAAGTCGCCCCTCAACACTTACCTTCATCGTCGTTGGTATGGTTGTTCATGCTGTTATTGTATTCTTCTTGTGCTATTGCATATTGCTCTTCCTCTTCTTCTAAATTCAAGTCGTCGTAAATGTACTCGTCTTCTTCGAAATCGGGTTCCTGTGATGACAGTGTATTTTTTAATAAATATAATTGTGAGCAGATTATGATTTGGGAAAAGAATCGTGCTTACCTGATTCGATTCGACATAGTACTTCACATCTTCTTGGATGGCGAGAACCTAAATAGAAGGTTGATGAGAAAAAAGCTCGTACGATGAGTGCTAGCTGATAAACATACCTGATCGGTTTCAAGCTGTGAGTTTTGCAATAGCCGAAGTGTCAGCTCCAGACGATTCATGTGCCATTTATATCGTTCCATGCAGTTCTCCAGATTCTTTATCCGTTCCATTTTTGCGTGGTCTTTTTTCTTTCTCGCTCCACCTTGTAACGTTTCCAATTCTGCTTCTCGCATTTCTAGCTGTCGGGCAATTTCATCCACCATGGACGATACCCAGTCGCAAGTCTCCATCTTTTCCTTCTCTTTAGGATCCATGCGTGACATCTGCATAAGACCTTCTTTAGAAAACGCCTTCGTCTTCATTTCCTTTTCAATGGCTTTGAATCGTTCCATTTGTTGTTCTATGAGTTTTCGATTATCCATAAGCGCTCGCTTGTCTTTGATTTCGCTTGATTGTAACCATGACTTGATCTGATCTCGTAATCGTTGCAACTTCTTGATTTCTTTTTTGAGATCTGATTCGTACTTCTCTTTCTGGTTGATATTTGGCGCACTTTCCAGTTTATCAACCATGGAATCAAACGTCTCTACGCCTTCAGAGACCTTTTTGAGCACTCGGTCAATTTCCGCTATATATCGTGGAGAGAATGGGTAAGTCAAACAAGAAAGAAAAGGTATGGAAATCAGATAGCAAGCCGGGTGAAAGCCGATGTTCACAGCTAGCGGTATATTGAAATTGCATGGCGGTTCCTTTCTTTTGGTATCCTATGCCGTGCCGTAGGCTCATGTAAACGCCATGCTGCCATACTCCCCCACTTTGAATCGGTGACGCACTGTCCAGGTGGCCCATCGTTACAAAGCTCGCTTCACCCCATTCCCGTAATGTACAAATCAGGGATAATATAAACATACTTTGTAATTTTTTCATCGCCATTTTGATAGCGATATAATATCTCGTTCCAGTTTGGAGAAGTTCTTAGGGAAAAGGATATCACCCGTACGCTCCCAAATCGAAGCAGCTGCCGTAAACAGGCAGTCACGTGTATCCCCTCTGTCATTGTCCGCCAGTCACATGATTGGACACCCTTCACAATTCTGTATGCGATGGCGACCTGCAACGGACACTTCTTCCCCTAATTCAGGGTGAAGAAGACACCTTGCAAAACTTGGACAAATTAGTCAAATCCGCCATCGCTTACGATTGGACCCCAGAAGTAGTCGCCATTAGGAGCGCAGGTTCTCCGTTTAGAAGTCAAGTTTCTCCCCTTTCACTTGTCTGCTCACTCGCCTTACATTCAGTCTTCCAATGGCGCATCTCCATTGACTTTCAATGAGTCCTCGACTCCTCTATGCACACTAGATTGAAAGACTGCTCCACATTTCAGTGCAAACCAAAAAGACCCTACTCACTTTCAATTTGCCAAATATGCTGTTGGCAATCCCATTTGCGACCACTGTTGCCAGTCGCAACATCAAATGGTCTTATACGACACCTCCTACATCGCTCCGACATCCACTAGCGATAAAAACCGGGTATGCCTCCGTCCAAATATAACATTATCACCTCGAAAACCACACAAACACAATATGCACATATCTCGCCTCATGCCAAATCCAGCTCGTCCAACAGAACACCCGAGGGAGAGATTATTGCTCCCTTGTTTTATGGAGATTTGTCGATGGGGAAAGAACTTCGACGAGCAGAGATCATTACATGAAATGTTTCCACCTTGAAGAATCAAGCGCATGAAAAAACTAAGCATTTCTACATATCGGACAACGGAGTTGAAAATTCTTTAAGCTGTTGGGGCAGTCAGACCCCCCGATAACCTCAATGACGATACTGAAGCAGAATGGGGAGAAGAATATCCTGTAAATCTACCCGGCGAAGGTGAAGGATTTTTCGAAGAGTACATTGCCGCCTTTGAAAAAATGACACCTGAAGAGAAGTGGACTCTGTCGACCGGCAGAGTTGTTGAAGATGAACTATACAAGAGAGTCACAGACGTCCATTTGCTTTCCATATCAACAAAAACAACATGTAGAAGACATACGTCAGGTTCTTCAGCGCTTGGATAAAGCGAATCTGTCCATCAAATTGACGAAATGTCTTTTCTTCAAGAGTCAAGTTGCATTCATCGGTTTTGTGATTAGCAAGGATGGGGTATCCGCTAATCCGGAAGAGATCAAAGCCGTCCTGGAGATGCCGCCACCAGCTGACATAAAAGGAGTCGATCGATGGGAGAATCTAAAGCTACGTATCAAACAATACTCCAAGATGTATGGCAAAGACCAGAAACGTTGGATGAAGAAAGAGTGCAAACGGCTAACGAGAATAAAAATCGCTTCTTGGATTACTCGGAGTCTATCAAAGATTCATTCGGGCGTATGCCGTCAAAACGGAACCAATCCGTCGCCTGAAGAAAGCAGGTCAACCATTTATTTGGCGAACAGACCAACAAAAGGCTTTCTCTGTGTTGAGGGACGATGTTGCAAAACTTCCAAATTTGCACAACCGCACTTCCGCACATCATTCGAATTGCTTTCTGACGCAACGTCGAAGCAAGGCATCGCCGTCATCCTCTGCCAAAGAGACGAAAATACGGATATTTTGATGCCCATCTCGTTTGCAACTCGCTCGCTTTCCCCAGCGGTGTCGTACCTCAGAGTACGGATGAATCAGCACCTGAAACTACGAACATGAGCGAAGCATTACCAACGGTACAGAAGCGCACTAAGACCCTAGGAGGCGTGGACAAGTGGAAGTTCAGACCGACGGTACCTAAGGTACGTAGGGCGATATAAAGGAAGGCAAGTGCCGAGGAAGCGTGGGACGAAGTCCGACCGCTCCACACGTAATGCCGAAAGTACGAGAAGATCTTTAGGCAGGAAACTTCTGGAAAGTAGTAGTAATAGACGAAGTGTAAAGTATAAATACCGTAACTACAGAATGCAATAAACATCATCAATTCACCAGAGACTTATAGTCTACATAAAGGTGTCGCTATTCGGGAACGACAGTGGAGAAAACCTATTCTGTTCAAGAAATAGAGGCGGTGGCCGTTTAATGGGGAATTCGCAAGTTCCGGGCCTATCCACAGTACTTTCGGACCATTCATATCTCCAGTAATTTTTGCAAACGAAGGAAGAAAAAACAGGACAGGCTTACTAGATCGGCTGTCGAACTTCAACATTTTGATTTTGGCATCATATACGTCAAACTGAGTACCAACGTCGTAGCGGATCATCTTTCAAATTTATGAAAGCTCTCTACCTTAACACTATTTGATTTATCAATAAAAGAGCGCTAGTACTATTAGACACTCACGTGACTTTACTCCTCAATCGTGCTGCCACACATTTTTGACCTCGCCCGCAACTTTTGCATATTTTTCCAGCAACACTTCCCCCACTCACTCTGTTTGCCTAGCTTGACTAGTCGTAAGAAGGATAAAAACAGGACAGCAATCTTATTGAAAAACTTTCCTGACTGACTTACTTTCCATTTGCTACATATTTAAATCCATCCTCAATTCTTCCTATGACAAGTAAGAGACCCAATAATGATAGAGACATTTTCGACAAGGAAGAAGGAGAAATTGCCAGCGACGACGAACATTTGTCCAGAAACACTATTCCCTTAACTCCTGTCAAGCGTCAGCGATCACCCGACCGTTCGAATGACAGTCGATCTAAGACAGTTAAGGTCGACGATCGACCGTCCAGCTATAACGGTCATTCAAGTGATCGATATCGTAAGGGAAGTCCACAGAGACGGTATGAATCGAGCTATGAACGCGATCGTGATCAATATAGATCTCGACAACGCCCTTCCGATAGAGATTCAGATCAAAAAGCAACAAATGGTTCTAAACTAGTGCACAGTAAACTTTCGACCGCAGAGTCAAATCGATACAAGACGAGTACTGCGCCTATGGATATCGACAACAATGCCAACGGAAAAAGGTATGTATATGTAACGCTGTTGAAAGTACATTATTGTGTATTAACATGTTGTCTGACTTCCGTTGCCTCTTATTCGTAAAGCTCAAATGCAGCAAAAGATGACGATGATGACATTGAACTTAGAGACGAAGATGAAATCAAAGCGGAGGAAGAAAGGCTTATTGAAGAGAGACGTAAACGACGCCAAGCAATATTGCAAAAGTACCAATCGAAAACGTTACAAAATGTTACTCAGGTTCAAGATAGAGCAGCCTCCATATCTGATAACGATACCAACATAGGTAAGAAATCGTGCTGTATAGTACTATGTCACAGGCACTTTCTGATCTATCTTAACAATTTTTTCTTTAGAATCTGAAGCTAACTCACGTCAGTCCACGCCTCAATTTGACTTGGCAAAGGAAGGTGCAATTGGCCATACCAGTAGCTCTGTTTCGACACCCGGACTGTCTGCTTCCGAAGATGACACGCAAATGGGTCCTAATCCAAGTGGATCTGAATCACCAGAACACATATCGGCTGCCGACTACAATCCTACCATGGATAGAATTGCCGATAATGAACGTCGACAAGGTGCTGTACCTCCAAAATCGAATAAGGATATTGAGCTTCTGAAGCAGAAGGATAAGCAAGAATCTGTGGTCGGTGGATCGACTAGTCATAGTGACAGCATGTTTGCTGCTGACTACAACGAAAAGTTGGAGAGTGTAGCCGCAGCGCAAACCGCAGCACCAGAAAAGGAAGAGTACGATATGTTTGCCGATGACGGTGATGACATGTTTGCACCATCCGATGCTCCACTAAAGTCAAAGGTCAACCCCAGTGTTGCTGCCGTACCTGTTTCTGCGGGTCAGAACCCTTCTCTTATCGATAATTGGGATGACCCAGAAGGCTATTACAGTAAGTTCAAGCAACTCTTGTAGAGATGATGACTATGCAATGATCTAATTATGGAACAACTTTTCAGGCGCAATCGTTGGCGAAACGTTGAGCGGTCGGTACCATGTTAACGCGAACTTGGGACGAGGTGTATTCAGCTCCGTCGTCAAAGCTAAAGACACCCAAAAGGACAATGTCGATGTTGCGGTCAAGATCATTCGTAACAACGAGACAATGTAAGTGGTAATTATGTTGGAACCAACTTCGTATGTTAATAGCTGACATTCGGTCCATTCTGATCCTATGAATAGGTACAAGGCTGGTCTCAAAGAGCTGAACATTTTGAAGAAGCTTATGGACGCCGACCCTGAAGACAAGAAGCACATCATTCGTCTTCATAGAAGTTTCGAATACAGGAACCATCTGTGCCTTGTTTTCGAGAGTTTAAGGTAAACGGGATACAAATCATCTGGACATGCGAGCTTAGTGCAAATACTCACCGTGTTTGTTTACAGTATGAATTTACGAGAGGTCCTCAAACGTTATGGCAAGGATGTTGGAATCAATATCAAGGCAGTCCGTGTGTACGCTCAACAGTTGTTCTTAGCTTTGTCGCTACTGAAAAAGTGTAATATTCTGCACGCTGATATTAAGCCTGACAATATCCTGGTAACTGAGTCAAAAAACACCCTGAAGCTATGTGATTTAGGTTCTGCCTCTGATGCGGATGACAATGACATTACCCCATACTTGGTCTCAAGATTCTACCGTGCTCCTGAAATTAGTAAGTTGAATACTTTAAGCTGTCATGGTGAAAAGCGTTTCTGTGGATCAGACTGACACTGTTCCAATCAGTTCTAGGGCTTCCATACGATTCGGCGCTGGATGTTTGGTCGGTTGGTTGCACGCTTTACGAACTCTACACAGGAAAGATTCTATTCCCTGGTCGGAGCAACAACCAGATGCTTAAGCACATTATGGACGTCAAGGGTCGATTTTCAGCCAAAATGCTTAGAAAGGGGCAATTCACCGAACAACATTTTGATGACCAGTACAACTTCCTCTCACAAGAAGTCGACAAAGTGACAAACAAGGTTGGTGTCATATGCGTCAATGTGGTTGCTACGATTATGTTTACTAAATGCATGCTTCTTATCATATTTTCAGGAGGTTACCAAAAAGATGGTCATTGTCAAACCGGTCAAGGATTTGAAATCCAGGCTAGCTCCAGGATCCAAATCGTCTGTTGAGGAGATCAGGCTGATCAGTGCCTTCATTGACCTGCTTGAAAAAGCGCTGCAGTTAAATCCTGAAAAGCGTCTTACCCCCAAGGAAGCTTTAAGCCACCCTTTCATTACTGGAAAACTGGCCGTTTAGTCTATCAACATAGCGATCATACCTACATTCTTTGTACATTTGAAATCGAGTAAAACTTGTAGATTATTCTCGAGAACTTTGTTGTGAAATTTAGGGTGCACTGGCGAGATAATCATTTTGCACTTCGTTTACAGATGACGGTCAGACAGCGAAGAGGAGTAACACTACCATGGGCATCATTCATCGAGAATGTAATTTACATAAAACCGTTGAAATTAAATAAATATAATATACTGAGTAGGGAACTATAATGCTTAGGATCTACCTAGGCAAACCTAGAATCGTATTACATACGGGCTATGACCAGTTCGCACAGCATGAGTGCCTACCGGCACGCCATGCTCTCTTGCTTCTACCATCATACCGTCACCGGCGAAAATAGCTACGTGTTCATTGCATTGATCGTCGTCTGTGCCATAAAATATAAAGTCGCCAATTTCGATAGAATCAAAGGCAACTTTCTGTCCACGATTGTCGTTGAATTGGTCACAGGTGTAGTGGGCAAGGGACATTCCTTTCGCTTGAAATAAGGAATACTTTGTCAAGCCACTGCAGTCGTAGCCTACCACGTTGGTGTCATTGTAGCCGGATGGAGAACAGCAGATACCGTCGGTTGGACCGCTATTATCACCACCACCCCAGGAGTACTTGAAGAAGTGTCATTAACCCTGCGAACATAATACGTATGAGACCATGCACTTACGACAATGCCATCTTGAGTTTGGGCTTTGGCGACTATGTCAGCGCCTGTACCTCTGCTGGTCGAAGTATTACATACCTAGTTATATATTTGATCAGTACACCATCTATGCTTCATACATACAGAACATCGACCACCACTGACCGGAAGATTTGGATCTAGCCCTGAGTAACCAGTTTTAACATAGTAGTCCGGGAAGTAATATGTACCGTCTGCGTTTTTTCAAAGCATTAGTTCTACCGCCACCAGCTGGGTGAATCAAAAATATCACTCACCATAATCCCACACGTTACTCCCATATAAAGTGTCGCCAATCGCCTGGCATTTGACTGGAATGAAAAGATGATAGTTGATACCATGTATAATTCTATGACCCTGTTATTTATTCTTACCATCAATGCAATCTCCAGTAAGATATACGTTCGTTGTTCGGGTAGCGTTTGAGGTTGGTGCACTGCGACCATCAAGGTCTGTTGATGCACTAATGCAAGCTTCTACCGTGGCGAAATGAACAATGATTCCTGCAACTGCGATCAGTAACCCTTTGATTGCTTGCATAGTGGTCAGTAGAACAAAGAACGTTCATTATGGATACAGCGGTTTTATACCTTGGAAGTAAGTAGTGCCATCGCAGTAATAAAGGTTTTTGGGATCTACCGCATGTTTGGTGTACTGATTCGGCAATTTTTCATTCAAGAAACGAGGTCCGATTTCCATACGTGCTCTTTGAGCAACCTTGGCCTTTTACAACACTAACTCATTATAGTTCTCGTTGAAATCTACCGAGATACCGTGCAACGGTCCAACTAGACGGATGTCTACATCGCAACGCTAAATGCCTTGAAAGGATCCATCTTCTGTTCCCAGCTTACATGGATACCTTGGGAAAATATAGTCTCGATCACCATGGCAAGTAATCGTATCATCCAGCTTCTAAGCATGTACTAGATATTCTCGTATATGCCGAGTATTCACTGCAATTGTTAACTGCGCAATCGAAATAAAAATCCTTGCTGCGCAAATTCGAATGGGTGTGACCTTTTTAGTTAGCTGGTGGCGACTTTAAATAACGGATGATTGTGACCATTAGATTATTAGAAGGCAAATGTCGGCAAGAGCACAGAATTGGCATGCGTTGCTATAACAAATGGTATACTAGCTCTTCATGTATCTTATTTCCGGAATCATACTTTATTCCAAAGTACAACAACCAGAAGATGATGCGTTTGACTGCACCACCTTATGTGGACGTTTGTGAAACTTGAGGATATACAAGAGCTCCCATAGCACCGATAAAGACTAAACATTATCATGGTTGTGAGGTAAATACATTTTCTGCAGCATGCTACAAATAAACTCTTCAGAAATAGATTGAAGTATGGTTTGTTTCATTAATCTGCAAGGCGAAAGTGAAACGAAGTTGACATTGATATCCATCAATTTACACATTATGTTTCTCATGAACTAGTGCTCAAGAACGTTTTCCATGTTTAACATGAAGAACTAGCTCAAATCATTGTCAAAATCTGATCCAAAACACATTGTTTGGCTTTTATTTACTTTGCCTATATTGATAAAATGATCGATGTATTTTAATCACTTTGAGTACTTGATAGAAGTAGCTTCAAACACACCTTTAGCTGGATTTCGCTCATCATGCAAAATAAAAATACGAATCGCCAAGTGCATGATCATAAGAAGCTTTGTCGCCAACAAAATCCCAACAACCACCCATTTCAGCCAGACGCGGTCCTCGAAATATTTAAAAAGCTCTCCTGAGGTTCAATATACAGAACGTCCTGCAACCAGACACAACGTTGAATTACTATACGAATGTCAAATTCAACAATCAAATACCACAGCGCATGGTACTTGTTCCTTAAACTACCTTCATACCTAGAAGAAAGTGGAAAAAACAAGTATTCGGCAGAAATGGTGTGGAATCAGCTATCATCAACTTTATACAGAACCTGCGGACAAACCAAGTTGTTGTAACCTTGAGATATGTGTTATTCTTTTTGCGATTAGGCGTTATCATTAATCCAAATATGAAACATGCGCTCGTCACTGTTCTACTGTAAAAGTTCTCAATATGACCGCTGATACTCCCGTGTTATAACTAACAGTCAACGCTGCGCATGGACGCCGAGAACATCAGCTACCAAATGAATACCGCATCATCAGTGACAAGTACCAGACGACTCTGTCAAAGGCAATTTTCTGCTTCCCACAAGAGTCAGGTTTTCTCTCGGATGGAGAAGTAGAGATCATGGAATTATCTGTTTCCTCCCTTATGAAAGCCATAGAAGGCAAGAAGTGAACTGCCACCCAAATTACCAAGACATACTTCAAAGGAGCGATATATGCTCAAGAATAACTATTGAAAGGACTTCTCTATGGTTTGCCAGTCTCCATTAAAAAATAATCATATTTCTCAAGGGAACCACTTCTGGTGTTGGGTTTACGATCTGGTCAACAACCTTTCATAGCGGGAATCCGTAGTTGCTCGATAAATGGTTGGTATGGGTGCCATCATCTATAATAAGGCTACTTTCACACTGGCCACTTTGTCTGTTAAACCTAAATCCAGAGCCATTGATTTGGCTACGAACTTCTGGACAGAACCATATTGTTGGTGGTGGCTGTAGAGCTGAAGGAGCTCTATTGGCAATTGGAGGGTTTTCTGTAGGCTTTGAGTCTGATACTGGTGAAAGCACTCGTATTCCGGACTCCAATGGAACATGGTATCAGAAAAGCCTAAGACTAAATTTCAACCGCTGGAACCTTTAATGGTCTACCTGGCTCCCTCCCATGCCAAATCTGTAGTAGAATCCATGACAAATACTCTGCAGTCGGTTGAACTTATAGCAACGCTGTCTTACAGCCACAATTTTGAATGTTTGTATGAAAATTGTATACCTACTCCTTAGGTACACCATCAAAGTCCGACGCAGCTCAAAGAAAATGATTGAAGATTTGAAAGACACTTCTGGCACAATGTAATAAAAACTACTATGTTCTGAGTATCTCATACATCAAGTTATGAAGGGTATCGAATTCCCAGTCAGCAGCCGCACCAGCTTACCGCTACCATCAGCCTTTTCAAGTGTACAACACCCTATTGGAACGTCGGGGATTACCATTCAGCAGCATTCCCTGTTTTCAAAGCGGATGTCTCAATCGACGATAAACGTAATATTGAGCTTATATCGGATGCTGAAGAGCAACTTTTGCACTGCTGTTATCCACCCTTGGATGGAGGATGCATTAGTCTCAATGCAGCGCCAATAGATTTGAGGACGAGAAGTCCTTGAAGATCGCCGGACCTGTTGCAGATACTTCAAAGAAATTGAAAAAAAATTGGCTTGAGTAAAGGATTTACTGTATACAGATAATACAGATAGTAACGCATACAGATAGTAACGTATACTTTCGGGATGAATAAAAGTTATTTGAATTTGGATTTTCTACTAAGTTGAGGGTGGCACCAAGTAAATATTCAATTTCTGAAGGAATTTAGTACCTAGCCTCAATACTTAACCCATTGCTCCGGATGCTGAGAGCTACGCAACAAATCAATGAAAACAAAAACTTTTAAATCATTTTCAAGCAATGAACAACGAAACAACTTAATATATATAAAACCTTCTTCGATAGGCCATAAATGCTGAGCGTCTCACCAAACCGTGGGCGAAGTTTTGCTCATGCTGAGTAACCTTAAATCTCTTTGTGGTATTGTTGATACACTCACATGAGAACGGGACTCGGAATGTACACATTGATGCGGCGCAGACTGTGCGTATGCTTTGCGATTGTGTTGCTTTGCATCATGGGATAAAAACCGTAGCATGATTTTTTGGTTTCTTTATCCTTCTTCTTTGATATCACACAAATTGAGATTTCTTCAGCAGTTCTACCACACTGAGCCAAGTATGAATCAGATGCCGAATTCATTTACTCTCTCTGCCGTAAGATCAAATATCAACACTGGCGATCTTATACTGGAAGTCAACCGAAAAAGCACTGTCATAACAACGAATGAAACTGCCGCCTCCGGCATGGATGCTATATCTACCATGAATATTGATAACGAACATAGCAATTTACATACTCAGCGTCGATGTAATAGCTGGGCAGATATATCAACACATCATTTTTTCAACGTACTTTTCAGCAAAAGTGCGGTGGACCAGTTTTATAGATTGTGGAATTGGACCGGTGGTATAATGGAACAATACGTTTGGCGATCACAATCTGCTACGAAATTTTATGCTAAGAACTTTATAAAAGTACTTGCAATAGCGATTCAAGCTGAGATGGTAAAGAGCATACCGGTAGCAGCTGCTTTAAGCGATTTTAATTTGTATAATGTTGGCCCGTCAGTTTTTGGTCAGCTAGCACAAGGAGCCGTTGTTGCATGTTTTGCAGTACTCCTCACCAGAGCTACTCGCCAGCGTCCTATTGACTCCCTTGCTGATGGTCCTTTGTCTTCCGTATCTTGTGCATACTGGCTTTGGGCGAATCGTGGAAGCAAATCCAACGGCAAGATCCACCAAATTTTGATTGAGATTCCTGAAAATTTCGATCCTAAGCTCGCCCTAAGACAGCGACTTCTTTCCGCAATCCCTGGAATTGCCCTAACACTTTCATCTTTCGTAGTATACTTTCTACTTTCACTGGGTGATGATCGTAAACGGAAATGGGCTTTACTCATAAGCATTTTTGGGATCATATCTGAAATTTTACGCCTATTAGCAACGTGGCTTACAATTAGCTCCATGAAGACCAAACCTTCCTTTGAAGAAAACAAGAGACTTCATCTTTATCCAGAGTCTTCGAATGATCTTGATTCCCAACCTTTTGTTGTATGGCGTCCCAATTCTGTTCTTCGACCTCTACGTCTATTTTCTGATTTTACGAATGGTAGAAAAACTGTACCAAGTTCAATCTATGGAGTATATTCTTTCACCTGGTGTTGGACAAGCCCTAAAGCGATGGTATCTGTACTTATTTTCTGTACAGCGGCATCATTAATAGTATTATCAACAGGAGCGCTCATTTGCAGTGGAGATACTTCCATGGAAGCTGCCTCCCTTGGCATTTTACTTTGTCTGAGCGCAAGCGGCTTTTTCAGGATAGCCCATACAAGTGAATCGGACTTGCGAGATGTTTATACTGAACATATCTCAGCCACACTACTGAAAGATGTCATATTAAATACTTTTGCTCCTTTTACAGCCCATCGATTGGCAGAAAATGCAGAAAGCTTAATAATGAAAAGTTTGATAGAACACCCCGGTACAGTCACCTTACAAAATGAGACTTTGCAGACTTTCAACGTTTGGCCAGGATCGAAAATCAATATGCACGAAGTTTTTTACTATTTAACAGGCGCCTCCCAACCGGTCTCAAAGCTGATTATGCATTGGAGAGACAGAGATACAGAACTTAGCCCTTTGCTTGAGATAGCAGACGCTCTATATTGTAGAGCGCTTCTGATGATCAAGCATGCGCATGTTTGCAACCAAGGTAAACCTCGACGATTGGGCTCGAAATGTAACGTTGACTCTTCTCGTTTGATGTCAGCAGTTTTGCTTGCATCGGGACATGCACATTGCAGTGATGTCTCTGATATTTTGAAGGGTATCAAAGATTGGATGCAGCATGAGGACCTGCTTTGGAGCATCATCGGGACCAACATGACCCTCGATATGATGGTGTTACCGCCTCTTCGCAAACAACTAGAATCAACATCCAATACCTTAGACCTCGCTCTTCGAGTTTGTCACATGGCGATGTACGAAAGTATTCACTCGGGCGATATGTTAGAGGCGGTTCCAACAGCTTTGTACTATTTACTTACTGGTAGTACCGCATTAGGTAGCTCGACGGCCCGCATGGTAGAACTCGCTATTCGCCAATATGGGGCTGTCAATATGGTGCTATCACTTGATCGAGTTACGATTCATATAGAAGGATACGAGATATTCTGTCATGGCAAGCTGCATGACTGGCCGGGGGGATTTATCCCAGTACCATCTTCGTTATCACAAATACATTAGCCACGTTACTATACTTTAGCTAAATTCATTTTTGGGTCCAAGCTACCAGGATTTCACAAGGACGAACATCGAAGAGACTGACAACTCGCCATCAAAGACGACACTGCATATTCAGCGTTGATATTATTAGGAAAACCCTGTACATTGTATGCCATTCTATAAGCTTGCTATTTTTTTCAACAAGATAGAAATCACCATTCGATTAATTAGGATTGTAGCAATCAAATGAATCAATAGGCACATTTGTCAAGCGTTAACCATTTCGCTGGAGTCCATTGGTCCCTAGTGAGACTTCAAATTTACTTATTCATAATCTTCTATATTTCAGTGAACCAAAGACATAGAAATTATATCTCAAAACCAAACTACCAGGTCCAACTCTGCGACAGTCTGACGTATTCTGAGTACTACGGGAAGGATTGATAAGATTCGGGAACGGGAATGAACGATTGAAATCAGTTCAAAGATCTGCCTCGCCAGATGACTCAGTACTTAACAACTTGAAGTAAAACTTTTTCAATGCTGCAACGTCGTGTAGGTTATTTTGGGTTTTGTTGACGGTCATCTGAATTGCGGTATTTGGACATATCTCGGACCAGCTCCGGTGCGAATAATTTACGCTATTGAAGGGGTCAAGTACACTATTGAACGAACTGAAGGTATGCGATAGCTAAAGTTGAGATAACAATTCTTGAATACAATGGGGGTGTATATTCAGTCATGTTGAGGGCTTGCAATCTACGGAAGCCTATAACTGCGCAATATTGGTTCTCATATTATCACGTAAAGAAAGTCTTTAATCCTTCTTCGCATGTGATTCAAAGCATCTCTTTCGCCTTTCTGCTTTTACTTGCCCTTTTAAAAAATCATACTTCAGTACTTCGTTATAATTTTTTTCATATTTTCTAATGATCAAGCGACTTATTAGCTATCCGCATAATTCGATTTATGCTGATACCACAATCATGAGCATGGATAACAACGAAGATACGGCTGTAGATATTCAAGTGAAGACGGGTTGTATAAACTCGGAGCTTATTGCTGCTTACAAGGCACCAAAAAAAGTAGCAAGGACTATGGATGGCTATCGCCAGCAATTCATAAACTGCGCCATTGTTTGGAAGGTTATGTACACTGTTGAGCAGCTTTATGGAATTAGCATAATCAATAGGTTGTCGCAACTAAACGTATGGTATCCAGGATGCATATTTCATTACTTTATCATGCTGTACGCCATCAAAAGGGGTGAAGCTATCGACAGGTCTATTGTACTTCATACTCAAGCTTTGTTAAAAGATTTCAAACTGGCATCCCTGGCCAGTCTTATACTTACGGTACCAGGAGCTGACGCTATAAGCGAGTTTGACCTAAAAAAAACTATCCCTGCTGTATACAGCCAGCTTGCTCAAAATGCAGTCGTGACAAGTTTCGGAGTTCTCTGCTCTAGTGACGGTGGACGCCCGCCACTTGATGCCTTATGCGATGGACCGTTATCTTCGATTTCTAGCGCAGTATGGCTGTGGAGAATGCGCAAAGATCGTGGCCGTAGTGAACAGCGTCGATGGGAGTTTACAGATGACAGTTCCGATGATATTATTACGCCAATCGATAGGCTGAGGGAGTCAGCTATAGATTCTCTACCGGTTATTGCCATCATTTCTGGATCATTCATCATATATTTCTTATCATTTCTGGAAAGTCATGAATGGAAATGGGCGCTCACTGTCAGCGTCACCGGTCTTGCATCAGAAGCAGCACGTTTGTTGGCTACTTGGCTAGCGACAGCTTCTGTAGAAAGTGTACTGAAAAACGATGATGACTTTTCACATGAGAAAATAGCTGTCTTTATGGCTTCTGGAAGAGAGGATATGACGTTTATCGAATTTCAGAATGGCAGGCTTCAATCTACAATCACTTGGCAAAAATTTACCGCGATAAGTGCTGTAACGGCTTATTCTTTGTACGGTCATGCAACATACACCTGGCAATGGGTTTGTATCAAGAAAGCTATTATGTCGCTTTTGCTTTTTTGCGTCTCAGCCATGTTAGCTATATTTTCGACAGGAGCTCTCGTTGCAAGCGAAGATGGTTCACTATTGGGAGGCTTTTTGAGCTTCATTATTTGTTGCTGTGCAGCAGGCAAGCTAAGTACCGGTACTTCCGCAAACTCTTCCCATCCTGATGTTTATTATGAACTGCTTTCTGCTACAAGTCTTGGAGCCATTGTTGGTCAAATTGGCGAATATGTCCAGGCGGATTCAATGCATTCACGTGACTTCGTTACTTATAGCTTACTGGCGAAGAGCGACACCATCACGTATCATGGAAGAAAATTTAAAGTTTATAAGCCAAAACAAGAAAACGTGATTGAAATGCATGATGTGTATCGCAGCTATGCTGATCTTGATACAAGGATCAGTAGGATGTTCCATAGAACAGAAGATTATGATGGACGTAGCATCATGCTAGAAATTGCCGATGCACTGTACTGCCGAGCTCTTTTGTTGATAAGACACGTACATTTTTGTCGCCACAGAGAGCCAAGCGTGCGTAGAAATGTTTGTAACGCCGATACAACACATTTCCTATCAGCAATTTTGCTTGTATCGCATCATGTAGATTGCCCTTACGTACGTGAAATTCTTAGTGATATCAAAGCTTGGATGGATCATGAGGATCTTCTTTGGAGCATCATTGGGTCCAAAGTAACCCTTGAAATGATGGCGTTGCCTCATCTGAGAGCACAATTGAAATCATCAAATACGTTGGATCTGGCTCTACGGATGTGTCATATGGCAATGTATGAAAATGTTCCCACTGGGAATATGCTAGAGGCTGTTCCAACAGCTATGTACTATTTACTTACTGGAGACACCGCTTTAGGCCATGCACCGGCTCGTGTAGTCCAGAATGCGGTGAGAACCTTTGGCGCCATTAACATTAGCCCGTATCTAAATGAGGTTATTTTAACTGTTGGTGATCAGTATAAAATACTGTGCAAAGGTGAGCTTCATCCCTGGCCCGGAGGCTTCATTCCCATCATGACAGGCGATGCCGTGACAGATCAGCCAGCTAACTACAATATGGCCCGAGCGATGTTTGCTCCGATGCTGGGAGGACCAAGGCTCGGACAACGAGAAACACAGCGTCTTTCCCGATTGTCGATAATTTAGTCCTTCCTACAGTATTTCTTTTGTAAAGCACCATCATTTATAAAAGTAAGAAGTGATTAAACATACTTTAGCTTTTTCTTTTTTATCTTATGCGCCTTATACATTGCTCCCACTTCTATGACATGTGCCGATGTTTATAAAAGTATTATTGTTGACACCCGCCTATAAACTCCATGTAAGAAAGGAAGCATAACGGAATTGGCCATGTCACTAAGTATAAGTCTGCCTTTCCCAAACTTAGCAAAATGCTATACCGGCCAGAAAATTAATTAAGCAATCCTAAAGGAAATCTGAAATGAAGTCTTTCAACGTTATCCTGGTAATGGGATTTTCTTTCTACTGGGTAGCAGTACCTTTTGCAGTCCAAACTTTTTCTCTTGACATTTTGTTAATACCGCAGTGCCTAATAGAGAATGAGCTTGAAAATGTCAAATTCTAAATAGCAATTTCGTATAGAATCAATACTTGGACTGATGTTCGGAGACAGCCACCAGGTCCGTCTCACTCTTCCCTTCCCCTCCCTTTTGTGTGGCTGGCATGAAGAGGCACTTCATTTTATTTTATTTTGGCTTGGACTTCCGCTCAAAAAATAGGAAAACATGGGTTTTCTCCACAGCAAGCGATTCATCTAAACAATTAAGTACAATGAAACGCTAGTATTTACGTAGTTTTAAAAACTGGAATATCGCCGGCTTCGCTGCAAAGCTGTAGGTTGGGCTTATATTTTCTTTACGCTTCTAAGCTTGATGCTATTACTAGGGCTTTTAATCCTAAAAGGCGTCCAATGCTTTCATTGCTTGTAAGACATGATGACAGATCATTCGTGGGAATTGCGAAAAAGCTTCGTCCTATAGCGATCTTTGTAAAAGTTTAGCTTTTGATGATACCTTTGTGTTTGATAGCTTACTGATTTACATCACCTGAACAGCGGGGGTCGAAATCAACGAAATGTCTGGTACCTGATCCGTATGCTCTCTTTTACCACTTCCTCTTCCTCTTATTCCACCCACAGGGCACGCACTAGGACGCTTTTCTTGTATTTTATCAGAGCCTTTTACAACTCAACTATAGTGGAATCATGAATTTCAAAGAACAAATAGCTCAGATATGCTTTGGAGCATATATCACTCTATATTTGATACTGGAGCCACTACTTGGAGATTATAACGCAACACTGAAGCCCATTGCACTGACATTTTCGTTAAGCTTTGTGGTAATCAACCTTTCTAACATTGTAAAATCCTCCAAATATGCTCAAATTGAATGATATTTTATCGTTGAATAAAGTAATAATGAAAAAGCTACGTGAACTAGCCTGATGAATATCTGCTGTGGAGCACCATTAAATCATGCGGAACGCTTGCAATGATGGTGTTGTCATATCTACGAACACGGTTGGAATCGTTCAAAACGTTGGGTCTTTCTCTATAAATATACCCTATGTCGATATATGGTTCCCACTGACAGTATGCAGAGGCGGTTCCACCGGCTGGATTGTTACTGCAAGTAACACCTTAGACCACGCTATGGCTGGTGTAGTTGAACGTGCCGTCGTGTTTCTTGAGGTCGTGAACCTTTTCTAACGGCTCCACTCGCAAAGCTGGCCCAATCTCCTGTATAGGTGTACTCGTCCATAGATACTTGTGCATAGAATGTACTTTATTACTTGAAACAAATAGCTACTGATTGATGAAATTTAACCAGACAGTGTTCGCGATGCAATTGATATACTTGATGGCATAGATTTCTAACTTTGAAGAAGGCATAGGCTCGCTTTTTAACGGGAGTGCGATGACAGGACGGCAGTAATTTTCTTCTGATATTTGGCCGCTCCGGCGATCCTTATCTTTGGAATGCATTTTCAACCTGTTTTCTGGTTCTTCTGAATGCTGTGAACGAATGTCGACCTTTTCAATGACGTTCGATATCAACAGCTACAAGTATCAAGTGAGTTTCAAGTAAGTTGCATCATCCTCTCTTATCAAGTCATACAATTTGAACCACACTGTACCTTTGTAGATAGTAAAACGGAAAGTAGGGGCAGATGACTTGGGCTTACGTTGGAGACTTGCTATGGCATATCGTATTGCTTGGATCTTGTCAGTCTAGTGATGTAGCCTTTAGGAGCATCCATGACGAGGATCTCCATCGACAATCCTAAATTGTCGGGTCAATATCGATGTGAACTTCTTTGAAGTGGTTTAACCAACAAAATCCTACCTGAATGAATATAGCCAACTGCCCTTAATCTTAGAACTCGTGCTTCCTCTTGTTGACACATTGAGGCAAGATGATTCAACATGTCTTTTAGCATCTTTGGTGTCTTCAAGTCACTTCCCAGCATTCTCCAGCTTCCGTTTGGGCCATCAAAATTCCATTTGCTTCGGTGCAGCCATAGTCTGCTATGCCCTTCTGCAATATCAGGTCACCACGTCTGCCCATTATTTTTCTCTTCATTCTGGTGATAGAGGAAATGATGCAGTTTTCATACTTTCGAATGGACGTGTTCATGCTGGCTGCATCTCCTCTAGAATAACAATTCAATTTTAACAACGGATTTCGATATCCCTTTGTAAACACGTTTCACAAACCTGACTGTTTCCAGACCGGGAATATTATCAAACACCCTATCCACCATACCCCATATGCGAAGCATATACCAGAGTTCATGATGTGATGCTTCCAAATTGCCTGATTCGTATTCACGTATCCTATAACCCAAAAGTTAGCTCCATTGTTTATCAGCAATCGTAACCTATGTTACATACATCATGTTCATGAGGTCAAGCACCCGGTCAGGATCAAAATCCTTGTCACGACTGAAATTCGCTCCAAGGGCATTTTGCACCTTGTTTTCGAGACCAGCTGTCGTTTTCTAGTATGCCAACCAGGCGACAGTAGTTAGAATGCGTTTGACATTGTACTTACTTGCTTGAGGTGAAATTCAACTTACTGCACTTAATGATGCCAAATACTTGGTTATATCGTCAGGAACATCATCTGGGAGGGTCACTGGCGGGAAAGAATCGACCCCTTTAAGCTCCACTTTGGTAAAGTGGCCTTCTATTGTGTAATTTTATCTCTGATATCCAGTATCCAGACTGAATGGATTTTTAAACATGATAGCTTAAAAGATCCAAATCTTGCAAGCAAGAACCCGTGTTCACTACGGTGATGTTGGTTGTTGGCTTTTTTGGAAGCATGCGGGTCGGTCTTCGCCCTCCCAAAGACATGATGCAATCCAAAGCATGTATTTTGCCGCGTTGACATCTCTGTTCCATAGCATACCACAGTTTTTGCAGTCTAGGATGCCATGGAATTGAGAGCCTTGCGGAGTTTGCCACTTCTCCAGAGGTCGGCGGTGGCAGTTGTGACAGACCTGATATTGATAAACGATACGTCAATACGAGTGGAATGGACTTGGAAGTCACATCAATTACCAAGAGCCTTCAACTTGAAAATACATTCAACATGCACTTACTGTTCAAAATTACACTTCTTTCCAAATTCGAAAAGTTCATCTTCAACAACTTTGCCGGCCGACAGAGTCCACTTCTCTTCGGGAGTCATTTTTTCAAAGGCGACAATGTACTCTTCTCCAAACATAGATTTCCTTAGTTTGTTTTCAAAGGCTCGGCAAATCGCATTCTGAAGGACTTGCTCATTAAGTTTGGCCGGCGCTGGAGTAGTGGGGTTTCTTTCTCCTGGCAGACGCCTCTTTGGGGAAGGGAATTCGACCGTAAGGAGTTCTACCATATCTTGTTCATGTTTTTCTTTTAGCTCGTTTACGCATCATCGTGACAAGGAAGTAATGTACACTTCGAAAAATTCTTCATCTGCGGAGGGCGCATTTACGGGATCTTCTTCTCCCTATTCTGCTTCAGTATTGTCATTGATATTGTCGAGGGTCTGACCTAACACCGGAGCTTTGAAAAACCATTGTCATTATAAGACCTAATATTGTTGAAATATATTAACCACTTACAATGGTCGTTTATCAGGTGAGTCTGATACTCCTCGACAGTATGATTTGGAAACTGGCAATCTGGAAAGATGCAGACCAGGAAACGTCGCCCAAACACTTTAGCTCCAAATATATCCATAGGTATTTTCAAATCTATATCCGAATTGTAAAAAAGTTTAGTTTCTTCATGCGCCCTATTCTTCAAGCTGGAAACATACTATTTAGTCGTCGTAGATAACTTTTCAAAGCATCTTTACTCTTCAAGTTCTTTCCCCATCGGCAATCCTCCATAAAACAAGGGAGTAGTATCTCTCACTAGAGCATTCTTTTGGACGAGCTGGACTTGACAACCTTGCTTCGGTCGTGTTATTTGGTTATAACACTAGAAAAAAGATTCACATCGCGATTGATGACATCGCCATCACTAAGGATGCAATGCACGCCTAGTGGTACGAAATAAGTCGGGCTTCAACCTATTTCGCAGATATGGGATAAATAATCGAGCTTGTGAAAAAGAACGTTCGCTTGGGGTGAGCTAGCACATACAGCCAAATACTGTTAGTTGGCGGAATGAGGACGAGGATGTGGTTATAGGCTCTAGAGCCACGCTTTTATTCTCAGTCATATAAATAATAAAAATTTTCTATCTAATGTATCCCAGATCTCTATGCCACGCCAGCATGTTCGCCTTTGTGGCCTGGGAGGGTCAACTTCTAACTTAATTTTTTGTGATCTTTCTTTTGTTTGGGAGGGAGGCCACCACATCCTCGTCCTCATTCCGCCAACTAACAGTTGCGTGTCGTTCCTAACACAACTGTAGTGTGGCTCCATTCGTCCTCAGATGTGGTTACTTTTCCGTACTAGGCGAACATGGTCTCTAAAATTTGTTGTCCACGGACATGTTG